GGGTGTGACCTTCAGGGGATGCTTGCTCCTCTATGGCACCTGATCTTACCTGTGGTGTTTTCAGGGGTCCTCGTTTGCTCTGCTCTCAATTTGTCATGTTTAATTGAAGTTTTTAACATAATAACTGTTTATCTTCAAATTTCATCCAAGATCTAAGATACATGTATATATATTTTTTAAACATCTGTGTCACAGTTTCATTCATGTACTGGTAGTCACACGACTGGAATTTGGCAAGTACTAGTATAAGGGCATATCAGTGTTGCCTGAACAAAAAGCTGAGGACAAAAGTTTTGTCACAGTGTCCAACAAATCATAGGTTGTCAAAATCCCAGTCAATATATCTGGGTGAATTTCTGAGTACCTTTTCCATTCCGTAAAAGTAATGAAGCCGATGCCTCTAATGGGAATATGAAGTACAAGGATATTGACCCACTAAAATATTCTAAATGTTTGTAATTATTGTTTGTCTATTCATGAAGACATTAGTATTTCAAATACACATGTAAACTATTAAAAATTGTTTCCTATGTACATTTATACTTAAAAAAGGCTAACAATTTCAATGTCTGCTTTTTTTAGTCACACTTAAATCCTCAGCTTAGGTGAGATCATCTGACATGAGTCAATAAGCTATATCTAATTTATATGTTTTGGTATTCCCCTGTTACATAAAAGGCATTGAAGTGGTAAATTTCTTCGTTTGAATGAAACGTTTCGGTCTGTTTTAAGGAATGTCAATTGTTGCATCATGACATGCCCATTTCTGTAGAAATAAGAAAGAGCTATTTGTTGCAGTGATTTAATACACTGCACTCTCTGCAATCAGCGCAGGAATTTGGCTGAAGTGGGAATTAGAAGAACAAGTGAGAGACTCTCTCCGCTTATGCAAAACCCACATATTGCGACGGTAGCCCAATGCCTGGAGCTATAGTCATTTTAAGACTCAGGCTAGCTAATTTAAACATGTTAAATATACCGATAGTCTATTGGACAAACAGAAAGGAAAAAAATCCTCGTCAGTTTACTTTTGCTTTCCTATGTAGACTGGTTTCTTTTGACTGAGAACTAGTTTAATTTGTTTCTGTCACCAAAGCATTTAAAGACTTTAAAACACTAATTTCGTTAAAATTGAAAGTACTGCATCCATAGTAACTTCGATCTCGATGAGTTCGTTGGCGACCAGGATCGTCATTATTCTGATCCAGATCTTAGTTAACTTTTTATGCACTACATTTTTTTTTTGATTTTGAACCTCAGATAAAAAGTTGACAACAGGTTTGAGTTTTTCAATATGTGCTTTAAAAAAAATTCTTCACAGAAAAACCGCTTGTCCATTTGGAGAAGTGGCCAGCAATAATAACTTGTCCGTGAAAAATTTTCACTGGTACTGGACAAGCAGACAAGTGTTAATGTCAAGCCCTGGCATTTATGTAGACGGCAAATCCAATTGGCTATTATAATATATTTATAAAAAACCTGTTTTAAGAATAAGAGCAGAAACGCTCTCTTCTTTTCGAAGAAATGGGCATGTCATGTAACAACCAACGTTATAAAGAAAGCTGAAAATGTTCCATTCAAATAGAAAATTTTACCACTTAAATTTACCACTTTTGCAGAAAAACCTTATTGCTATGGTAAACCCTTGAACCAAACTGTTGCATGGGCCAAATGGCCTCAGGCAACCAAACAACTCAGACAAAATGCAGGTTTCCCTTGAACTCATTCAAAAAATATATAATACCGTATTATGTAGGATCTAGTACTGCAGAGAAAGTGTTGTGATGTTTTCTAAATGATGTCAACACTGGCCATGTAGCGCAGTGGTGAGCACCTAGCTGACACAGATGTAAAATTTCAGCCTTACCCAAGTTTTTCTTATTTTAAGAATGTAAAAACCATGAAACCCTATTATCTACAATACATAGGATTGAGAAAAAAATGAGAGCGTCCAGGAATTCAAGATATTGAGGTTAAATTACATAAAGAAAAAGTGACTGGGATTTCCATGTCACTTTGACATATCGATGGTTTTTGAGATATCAAAGTTCAACTTTAATAACATTTTGGTGCTTAACACTAATAGAGGAATAGGAGGGAGAACTTATATATACGTGTAATAAAACAAAGTTATCCAAATGAATTGTTTACAACTCTAAACATAAGAGTTACATCACAAGTGGATTTTAACTATTTTTCTTATCCCTTTTACTTGCATGTGACAATATTACCTTTAAGGTTTGTTACTGACTACAGAAATATATCAGGTTGATGAATCTCATAGACAGCAGGGCAAAGCTAGCCATCTATGAAATTGATCAACTTGATAGGATCTTCCTAAAAATTTTTGGCAATTTTTTAATGCAATGTAGCAGCCTTCCACCGTACTGCAATCAAAAAGTGTCTGTGAGTGGGGGAGGGTGGGGTGCACAGCATTTGAATGATATAGAAAGGTGGAGGAGGCCAGCCCCCTAACTATATATATGAATTCATGACCTTGGCCTTTGACCTCAAAATCAATAGAGGTCTTTTTTCTCAAAACATAGGGAGTTATGATGTTTATTATATAATTTCATTGAAAATTTAGAAATATACTGATATCATCAGAAAACAAGTGTTCCTCACAGACATATTAACAGACAGACAGATGGACAAACCAAAATTTTTAGCAAAAGCAAAGGAAAAAAGTATTTTTATCATTTATTATCAACAAGAAAAAATAAACTGAATTCGCTGAAGCCTCTGGCATTATCTAAAAGTTACACCTGAAAAACCACTGTAAAGAGAAACATAAATACAGGGGTAGTCAATAGATTTGCACAATATCTACAACAAATTCAAATGAAAAATCTTCAACCATTCATGTGAAAGAGCTAGGTTCACTTTATGCATAAAATGGCCCTGTAGATACACATGTACCAATTTATTGATTAACACTGTTTATCCATTTTCAACATCAATATAAAGAAGAGACTTAAGCTTTTGTTTCCTCTAAGAGTCCAGGCATTGGAAAACATGCAGTTTGAAATAGCAATGTTCTTTCAATATTGCAGAAATATAGGTGTATTTGAGTACCTTCAGCAAAGAATTAAAATGTGAACATACCCCTTGATCCAAAAAATAAAATATGTTTTATAATCTTCAGAAGCAGTTCTTTCATTATATATAATTGCTCATTTTGGATCAGAGGTCTTGCTATTTAGGAAATATTGAAAAAAGCTTCAGTTTTATTACTAAAACAAGACCCATATTGATTTTCTAGGACACAGGATCAAAGGTCAAGGTCACAAACTTGTATTTGCTTTTCTTAAGCAGGGGACATAAATTTCTTGAATAAGCTTGTTTTTGTTTTAATATCTTGCTCTGCAGGTGCCCTATAGTGATCAGTCAGTCCATCTGTCCATCCATCTGTCTGTCTGTCCCATTTCATTTGTCTAGAGTGTGTTTTCTCTCACCATGGCCCAGTCAGGTTCATATACTTCACCTATGGAGTGCCTGTGGGTAGAGGGTGTTCAGTGACCTTGAACAAATTTTCCAATCAAAGGTCAAGGTCAAAAAAGCTCTTGTGTAAAATCCTTTTCTTGAGCATATTTTCTCTCCCCATGGCCCAGATGGGCTCATACTTCACCCATGGGTAGAGGGGTGTGTAGTGACCTTGAGCCAATTTTCTAAATGAAAGGTCAAGGTCAGAAAATATGTAAAATACTTATCTAGAGCATATTTTCTCTTCCCCTGGCCCTACTTGGCTTAAACTTCACCCATAGAGTACCCATGGGTAGAGGGTGTGCAGTGACCTTAAGCCAATTTTCTAGATTAAAGTCAAGGTTGAATAACTGCTCTTTGTAAAATCCTTGTCCAGAACATTTTTTCCCCTTGGCCCAGTCAGGCTCAAACTTCACCTTTAGAATGCCCGAAGGGGGTGTGCAATGACCTTGAACCAATTTTCTAGACAAAAGGTCAAAGTCAGATAACCTTCTTGTGTAAAATCCTTATCAGGAGCATATTTTCTCTCCCCTTTGCCCTACTTCACCCATGGGTTGAGGGCTGTGCAGTGTCCTTGAGCCAAGTTTCTTTGTTAGTTGTCAAGATTATAGCAAATCTCTGTAAAATTCTTTTTCTGAGCATTTCTTTCTCCTTTGGCCCCAAGTGACTCAAACTTCACCCAAAGAGTGCTCTTGGCTAAAAGGTCTTTCATCCTAATATCCTTTGCTAAAAGCGGGGCCCTTTGAGATTTTCACCATCTCAATGATGTCTAGTTCTCTTTTGCTTGCTTCCTGCTGTTGACAGATTTTACAGCACCTTTCTGCTAAATATTCATCTATTTGTGTGTGACAGAAAAGAAGAAAAATGTATGGTTGAACTGTAAATCAAACCAGAGACCCCAGCATCACTAGTTAGGTGCTCTACCTACTTAGCTACCCAAGCCGGTAAACACAGCCCAACTATTACATTTCTCCAAAATTGTCTTCCTCTGTGAAGACTCTACCCAAGTTCTTTTTTGCCCCTGATAGGGGTGGTCAAAGGCACCAAATTATGTAACAGGAAAGGAGAAAAATGTATGGATGGTCCAGGAATTGAACCCAGGACCACTGAATCACGTGCTCTACTTACTGACCTACCCAGGCTGATATCCATGGCCCAAACCATTATATTTGAACTAAATTAGGGTCCTCGTACATCTTTGTAAACTTTGTTCTGTTATGGACAGTCTTGAGAGCTTTAGGGGATTTAATCACATGACCAACCCGTATTTACATCCCAATAAAAGTTTAAAAATGTTACCTTATTTCTTTATTATTTATTGTAGTAGAACTGAGAATTAGGAAAAGGACATTTTTATTTGTATGAATTTATTTATTTATTTATATTGACATGTGTTCTTAATTAGGTAGACAAACAATAGCGTAGATTTGTGCTCCACAAGATACCAGAATAATTTATATATATACAGTGTATATCACTATTTTCCTAACTGTGCTATAATGACATTGTATTTACAGATTCCCTCTCCTTACCTCCATCTACACCTCCACCCTACTCCCGGCTACAGGTCCACGAGAATCGCCTCGTCTCACAGTCATCCACAGGTTCCTCAGAGAGCAGTCTCAGTCACATGACCGAAGAAAAACCAGTGTTGCCTGGAGTTACAGTGCGTGCTGCTACCAAAGAGAATCTTGTACAGCTTGTTGTACAGAGTATAGGTCAGTGCTTAGTCAGTAGTTATAAAAATTTTGATTAAATACTGTTGAACTTTGTTATCTCGAACACCATGGATATACCTCATTTTTTCTTGGTCCCATTGGCTCGAGATAATGAGGTTTGACTGTAATTCATTTTAGCAGTGATATAAAACAAAAATTTGCTTTTTTTGGTAACAGATTCAAAACACTGGGGTCTGAAAGAAATTTCAGAATTGAAATGGTTGATTTTGAAAAACATTTGATCTCTTTCAATTTTCTTTGTTATAGAACCAGATGGACGATTGGTAGGGGGCAGTGATTTCCTGAGTGTTATGTTTTTGATGCATCAGTGGTTCATGAGTTCAGAACAGCTAGCCTCTGCTTTCATTGACTTGTATCCTTTACTATGTGAACTACATTACTGAACTAGTCTTCGAAAATTTTGTATGTTTGGAATGCTATCTGGTAAATATATTGCATTCATTTGGCAATGACTTATGTAGGTACACATGTATATATTTTTTAAACATGCATGCTCTCCAATTATTACCTTTAAATTTAAATGGAGTTGTAATATCATGAACTTTTGATCTTGAACATTTGAACATTACACATAAAATGTTTCCTTTGAAGGTTTGGGTATGTTCATTTCCCTGCTAGACATCAGATTGATCCAGGTTCTGATACCACAAAGCAGAGAGGAAGTCAGACAATTAATGAGCTGGCCTCGTTAACAGTTATTAGCCCATCCTCCTGTCCCACTGACAGTGTGACCTAGATTTTTTCAGACATCCCGCAAGACATGGTATTTCCTTGCGAATTGTTAAATATAGGGTTTATCCTCCACTGCATCTTTTTTATATCAAATTTATTGCATTTAGTGAATTTTTATGCGCAAAAGGGAAATCATTCAAGTGTACTACGTAAGTGTTCAAGGCCAAAAGAAGTTGGAAAAATGTTGTTTTAAAACGTATAATCAACAATTAGTAGTCATTTTGAAATAAAGAAGAGGGAATTAAATAAAAATATTATGATTAAATTTAATGATCAAAGCAATGATTGACTCATACATACATGAATGTAAAAGTAATATAGAACTGCATTCATTGTATTTAAATTTGAATACCTCAAGAAATTAAATAAATGATCTGTTTTTTAAACAGTATTTAACAATTGACAAAAATTAAAATATGTCTGTAAACTTTTCACATTTTTGACTTCTTCTGAAGAACCATAAATTTCAGCCAAACTTGCCACAAAGCATCCTTTGGTGAAGGGAGTTCAAGTTCGTTCAAATGAAGGACCAAGCCCTCTTTCAAGGGGAGATAATTTAAGAAGAAGTGAAATTTTTAATGGAATCTTTTTTAAAAATCTTCTTCTCAAGAACTACTGGGTTAGAAAAAATGAAACATGATGTGAAAGCTTCATTAGATGTGTAGACTCAATTTTTTTTTTTCAAATCATGGTCCTGCATGGGGATAGGGTGGGGCCACATTAGGTGATCAAAGTTTTACGTAGGAATATATTGGAAAACATCTTTAAAACTCTTGTTCTCAAGAACAGCAAAGCCATGGTTATTCATATTTATATGGAAGCATTCTCAGATAGTGTAGATGCAATTTTGTTCAAATCATGACCCCCAGGGCTAGGCTTGGCCCACAATATGAGATCAAAATTTTACACAGGAATATGAAGGAAAAATTTTTCAAAATGTGAGAGAGAACAGCAAAGCCAATTTTAGTCATACAGTAACATGCATTAATATGGAAACATCCTCAGGTAGGGTAGATTCATGTGTGTTCAAGTCATGACCCCCCTGGGGGTATATTTAGGCCACAATAGGAAATCAAAGTTTTAAATGGGAATATGTAGGGAAAATCTTTTAAAAATTCTCTAATGAATAAAAAAGCCAGTATAAAGCATATTGATGTACAAGTACCATCAGGTAGTTTAGATTAAAGTTTGTTCAGATCATGGCCCTGGATAATAGGTTGAAACTACAGTATGGGATCAGAGTTTTTCAAGGGAGTACATAAGACACAAAGAGTTGCAAGACCACACCAAGTCTTATTAATAAGCAAAGCTAAATCATATCAATAAGCAAAGCATACTTAAGATGTGTAGTTTTTTTTCTTTTAAATTATGAGTCCTCTGGTTAGGATTGAGCTAGAATCAGAGATCCAAATTTTACCTGATGCATGTATTCAGAAAAAAAAAGTATCTTCTCCTAAACAGCAAGACCATGTTGATCATATTGATCTTGAAGCATCCCAATGTTGCTTTAACTTTGAATACATCATAACTCCTTTAGGTCTAGATTTTGTTCAACAGCATGGAGTCAAAATTTTTATTAAGTTAAAGAGGTAAATTTAAAAAAAAAATCCAGTGACCCATAGGCATTTTGTTTGAATAATCAAAGATTTAGGGGTATATAGTTTTTGGTCTGTCCATCCGTTTGTCTGTTAATCTGTATGTCTGTCCACAAAAACTTTAACCTTGCCCTTAATTATTGAATTGGTTGGCACTAGGGCTTTCATATTTCACATGTGTATTCCTTGTGACAAGACCATTCTTTGGGAACCAACATTTGAAAAAACTTTAACCTTGGCCTTGAGCTGCCATACTGCAGTATCAATGATTCACAAACATATCTAGTTTAATTTTAAGCTTTTTTGTAGAAATTACTTTACATATTAAGTTGTCATCTTTGTGAAGTTTGTAGACTTTCCCAAGGCTGTTCAGTGATTTGATGACAGTATTAATTTCTGTAAAGTCTACACTGGTGAGATTTTCTCTCATAAAGCAATACAATCTAAGGATTTATTATAAATATACTGATGATCCATACTGGTTAAGTAATTACTTAACAATAAAGGAACTGTTACTTAAATTCTAAACATCCCACCCAATACTGCTATAAACTCTTCATTTGATAGAAGTACATGTATTTACTGAGCTATGATTTGAAGTATAAAATATAGGTATGACATTATTAAAAGTAGGTGCTAATACAAAGAATACTAATAACATCACTTAATTTTACTTTATCTCTCCTGTCTTGATTACTTAAACATGGTTCTGTGTTAATGATACTAATCAATAAATGCAATATGAATTAGAGGCAATACATGATTTAAGAAAAAAAAGCCTGTAAAAATGGAAATGTCAATGCTATGAAAGTGTTAAGATTTCTTGACATACATACAGATATCAGTCTAGTGATGAGACTGTCTCCTGTACCAAACTCAACTGTCAACACATCCCAGCTAATGAAGACTGTGACATACAGAAATACAAATGTCGAATCTGTCACGCTGTCAGGTATGTAGAAATAATGCGGACCAGGATAACTAAATATACTAAGTACATGCTTACCCTGTTCATTGGTTTTATTCCATTTAATGCAGTGTAACATGAATATGTAATGAATTGTGTATAAAGAAATTTCCTAAACTCAGTTTTAAAATATTTTATTAGTTGAAATTCTTAATTTATGACTTTGTTGTAAACAATTGTTTTCTTTAAACATGTTCACTTTAATGTGTTGTACTGTTCCTATATGTCGTATAGATTGGTGTAGATCTGTAATTGTAGTGAAATAGTAACTCACTTTAAGGAACAGATGATACAAGCAAACTTTTTTCAAAAATCATGAAAATAACAACTTCATCTTCTTCTATGTTTAAGAAGTAAAATAAATAAAGTCTAGCCACTTAAATTTTATGCCCTCAATCTCCATCATTTTCTGAAATTTTGAACAAAGATTTACTTTATTAAAAATGTTATTACAGTTATCAAATAATGTGTAGACTGCTTTGAATAAACCGTCCCCAAAGCACATTCCCCAGAACACAGGCATAGTGGTATTTCATAACAAACTGCCAAAATCTACACCTTGGACTACTAATGACAGGTATAATCAGGGCAAAACCACTCAAGACTAAAACAATCAGGGCAAACGTAATCGGAAAACCCACCCATTACCCCCCTTCCCCCCCCCCCCCCCCCCACCACCACCACAACCACCACCAGGCTGGGGCCATAATGGGCCATTAAAGTTTTACATAGGAGTATATAAGAAAAATCTTTAAAAATCTTCTTCTCAAGAGCATCAAGGCATGATTAGTCATATTTGTTTGAAAATATCTGGTAGATTCAAGTTTGTTCAAATCATGACCCCTATTTGTAGACTTGGGCCAGAATTGGCAATCAAAGTTTTACATAAGAGTATATAGGAAAAAATCATTAAAAATCTGATGAAGAATGGCGGAACCATAAGTAGTCATATTAATATGGAAGCATACTCAGGTAGTGTAGATTCAAGTTTATATATTGACCCCGAGGGATAGGTTGGAGCCTTAATAGGCAATCAAAGTTTTACATAGGAAATCTGCTGAAAATCAGTAAGGCCAATTGTAGTAGTAGTAGTAGTAGTGGTGACTCAGGTTAGTGTTGTTGCCCGTGGGCCTCCTGTTTCCTTTTTTGTTTTTAATTTCTCTTCATGTTCTAAGCAAGTATCAGCCTCTTTGTAAATGGAACCTATATTCCATTTACCTGTAAGTTGGATGAAATGCCATTTTGTAACGAGAGTCTTGTCAATGTGTGACAGAAAATTGAGTAGCATACTGTTATTTAAGAGACAGAGTTATTTCTGGTCAAACATGACGTAAATTGATCAAATCATTGATTTGTGTCACTTTGGTTTGGCACAGCTTCATGACTCTGTCAGTAATTCTGGGGAGTCCTGGTGTTATTCTAAGGCACTAGGATGGACATCTTGTTTCATACTGTTCAATTAAATTCAATCAGTGTAGTAAAAATGGCTCATAAAATCATCTTAGTTATTCAGAAATATCATGCAGTCCATTCAACAATTCCAGCATTGACAACAATAAAGAGAAGAGAACCGATTATTAGCTACTCTGCTTTTTCTTTTGGATGGTAAATGCTTCCGAGAAATTTCCAAATTTGGCAACATTGCTGAAAGTAGTAATCATAGCCAGACTCAGTGCTTCTTGGTAATTTACTGATTTTTAGCTTTGCTTGAAGACCAGAGTAGCTTTTGCATTGAAAAAAAAATCTGTCACCTTAATCCAGGTGTTTGTTTATTTTAAAATTTGTATCGCAAATTTGTCTAAATTTTTCCTCAAATTTGATATAAAGTTTACTGAGGAAATATTGAAGTCTTATCAAATGTTTACTTATTATTGAATTGGACCTTTATCATATGATAATATAACGGTTTTAAAATTTTAATTTTTGGCTGTAGAGAACACATTATGGCATTCTTTATTTAACTTTGCTATCAATATTCTATTTTTATATCCCCACAATAAAGTTATCTGTCCATCTGTCTGTCTGTATAACCAAGGTTAAGCTCAGCATTAATTCTTTCCAGCTTATCTCAAGGGGTATCTAAGTCAAACTTGCAAATTGCTAAGAGTCTTGCTTTGATTTGTCCCCATGGAGGATATTTCTAGTAGAACAATGCGAGTTCTATTTGACACAATTTAGATGGTCTCATTCTAGCTGTATTCCTTTGTAGGTTCTGGATAGACAATTATCCAATCCATTTTGACTTGGATTTGAGACTGAAGACAGTGATGAACAACTTCAGAACGATTGCTCACTCAGAAGGCAATGATGTGTGTAAACAACTGCTGGATCTGTCTAAAGTGTAAGTAGTTTTCCAGGAATTTTTTTTTAAATGTCTTTCATTAATGTGAAGACCTACTTCAATTACAATCTCCTTTTTTTCTTCATTATACCAATATTTAAGTATATTCTGTATAAAGTATTTCTTGAAATAATTGGAATAGTAACATTACTATATCAGAAATATTTATATGCTAACTCTTTGGTATCCTTATAAAATGTTGTCCAGGTTTTGTTAACTTCTCAGAATTATTGCTTTTCTGATAATTATTTTGTCCTTTGTCTAACATAAACTTTTCACATTTTCTGTCTGCATACCTAGCCATTTCTTCTTATCTGTAGTAGACTTGGAGAAGTGTTAATTATACCCCTGCTCCAAAGGAGAGGGGGGTATACTGTTTTACTCTTGTGTGTCTGTCTGTCTGTCCATAACAAATTTTCATCGCAGTTTTCTCAGCAACTACTCTTCACAGATGCTTGAAATTTTAGCACACTTTTTGTTTACGCATGCCACATGGTGGCATTTATTTTTGTACTTATCCGATGTCAGCTTCCTGTTTATCTGTGCGTCTGTCCATTTTTCTCAGCAACTACTCAAGACAGATGCATCAAATTTTAGCGCACTCTTTGTTGAGGCATGCCATATGGTGGGATTCATTTTTTTACAAATCTGATGTCAACTTCCTGTGTATTCGTGCATCTTTCCATACAAAATTTCTGTTGTCTGTACTAAATTTCTGTCACAGTTCTCTCAGCAACTACTCATTGCAGATACTTGAAATTTTAGAACACTTTTTGTTTAGGCATGCCATATTGTAGGATTCATTTTTGTATGAATCCGGTGTCAACTTACTGTTTATCTGTGTGTCTGTCTGTACCCAAATTCTGTCACATTCATCTCAGCAACTACTCAAGGCAGATGCTTGAAATTTATCACTTTGTTTGTTTAAGCATGCCATATGGTGTGATTCATTTTTGTACGAATTTGATGTCAATTTCCCGTTTATCGCTGTGTCTGTCCATACCAAATTCACATCAGAGCAGGGGTATTACTAGTGAGCATTGACTCACAGACTTCTTGTTGTTACTGTTTTGAGTGATACAAATTCCAATTTCACTAATCATTGTTTGAAGAATTTGCTGTAGGTTAGGTTTATTTTGCAGATATATATGTAAAATATGTTGTGTTTTTTTTAAAATTGATCCATATTGTTTGAATTTTTTTTTCAGTCCTACATTTGATTGGATGAGAAGAATCTCTGTCAGGCCAAGCAAACACAACAGAAAGGTATCCCTTGTGTTTAATCACTTAGAGCCAATGGAGTTAGCAGAGCATTTGTCATATCTAGAATACAAAGCATTCCGCAGGATAAATGTAAGTCTGTCACACAGAAAAAGAAACATAATGTTTCAAAACACTTCATAGAACCCACAAAACATGGGTTGAATAAATAACAGAGAAATTAGAATCTTTCTATATCTGCATATTTCATGTATCATTCTCAATAATGTACATAAGAAAATGTTGTCCTCTAAACCCCTTAGGTTTGTATCTTTTCTTTATTTATTTTTCTTTTATGCATAGAGATAAAAATCTGTACATTTCAATAGAATGTAGATGGTCAAGTAATATGGACCTGAAAAAGCCATTTATCATTTCAGTTTACTGATTTTAAAAACTATGCAATGTCGGGGTCCATTAAAGATAACCCCAAACTGGAGCGGTCCATTGCTTTGTTTAATGGATTGTCACAGTGGATACAGTGTATGGTGCTCAGTAAGACAACCCCACAACAAAGAGCTGATGTCATCGTCAAATTTGTTAATGTTGCGAAGGTAATTTACATGTTATTGTTAGTAATAAATTATAATGATATACTGGTATGCTTGTTGTCGCCCGCTTTCACTGAAAGTGGGGGATATTAATTTGGGTCTGTCTGTCCATCCGTCCGTCTGTCCATCTATATTTCTGTCTGTCTGTAACGCTTTCATTTCTGCGCGATATCTCGAGAACCCTTTGAGCTTTCGCAATGAAATTTTGCATAGCAACTCCCTATGGCCTAAAGAAGAACCCTATTGATTTTGAGGTCCAAAAGTCAAGGTCATAAATTCATAAATTCTGTCTGTTTTAACACTTTCGTTTCCACGCGATATCTCGAGAATCCTTTGAGCGTTTGCAATAAAATTTTACGTAACAACTCCCTGTTGCCTAAGGAAGACCTCTATTGATTTTGAGGTCAAAAGGTCAGAGTTCAAGGTCGTAAATTTATACATTACGTCTGTGGGTAACACTTTTGTTTCTGGGGGATATCTCAAGAAGTTTTTGAGCTTTTGCAATGAAATTTTATACCATAACTCCCTAGGGCCTCTCTCACCCCTCTCAAAGTGTCCCGCCCCGTTTTTTAATTATTATTTACATGTATTGTATTAAAAGTTGCTTGGCACTATTTTTAGCACAGGGGCTTGTGGAGAGTTATTACGTATAATACAGGTTCTCGGCGGACATTATATTCTTATTACATCAATTAGAACTGTTTAGTAAAGGCTAAATTAGACACCAAGTATTGATTAAAATTTTGACAATATCAAACGTCAATATAAACATTATATGTGAGTTAATATTTGCATTTAATTTGCTGTAAAATCAAGTGCCTCTGTGGTCTAGTGGTATGTTGCTCGCTTAGCAAGCCAGAGGCCCGGGTTCAATCCCCGGATGATTTTCTTTTCTTTTTTTTCTTTTTTTTTTGGATTTACTAAATGATACTATTCAACATGTGAAATGAAAAAGTTATGATGTCTGGCGTGTACAAACTTATAAAATCAGTGTTACAATGTGATAAATATTCTGTATTTTAAAAATAATCTTCTATACACATATTAAAGAATAAGCAATGAAATCTTTATATCCATATTGGCATTTTTTTAAACTTGCTTCAATATACATGCATACATTTAATAATTCTACAAATACAGGGGGCAGTGTGACACCCCACCCCCCCCCCCCCCCCCCTCATCAAACTGCACGTGCTCTTCTTTTTTTCCTAAGCAGGGGACACAAATTCTCTGAGTTAGTTTGTTGGTACTGAAAGTACATGTAGTATGAGGATTACTGTAAATGAATTATATTTAGAGTGTACAATATTTGGCGGAAATTAATACTTCAAGATTTGATTTAGTGCATCACTGAATATGCTTTACATGTATATGTATGTATGCATGACATTTAGAGATGTACTTGATTTAGTGGAAACTATTTTCTGCCAAAGGTGCTAAAATAAATACACAGCTAAATGTAATACATTTACAGTTTTTTAAAATGATTTTAGAGTACTCAGTACATGTTTTAATGCATTGCCACAAAATAATCAGAAAAATGATTTCATTTTCCATCATCTTTATTCAGTCATTCAGAAATTTGGAAGATGGAAGCCCTTTCTTTGTAGTAGGTTCTTTGATGAATTTTGTGAACATGTTTGCATAACTCTGTGTTACAGATCCAGTCAGAGTTTGTCTTAAGTTATTCAAGTTTAAACTTTAATTTAGGCCTTTTATAAGGAAAATTATACTGTCAGTTTTCCTTATATCAGCAAGAGTTAAAAATCAAATGCAAGTTTCATTCCATATAGCCCAATTTAAAAAAAAATAACAGCCTAAAAATTAACAAAATTTGACTTTACATGTATTATACATGGAAATACTGATAGCACTGAATTAAGATTGTGCTAAGTAGTCCATGACTTACATCAGCAATAAAATTTGAATATGCTAAAATAAGTACATGAGTACTTTCACAAGTTTCTATGTTGCCATGTGTGTGTGTCGGCAATATCACCATCTAAGATTTAAAAATAAAGCATTAATTATACACTTCAGTTTTGTTACTTTAAGTGTAATTTCCCATGATTGATCATCAAATTTTAATCAGGGTCTTAAATATTTTTTTATTTCACTACTTCTTAGTTTTATTAAGCATTGATTTCTCCACTGATCAAGAACACTTGAGGTTAACACAGATTAGATTACCTGTGCACATTTACCAAATATTTACCTATATTTTGGGAAAAGGACCATGTCTACTTTATTTGGGGTGCTTTTTTGTGCTTACCAAATTTTTTGAAAAGGGCAAGGCATTTGAAGCAACTTTAAGCACGTATTAATTTTTTTTGACAGTTCACATACTGGTAATTTGAATGTTTTAAATTTAGATTATGGAATATTTTGAACTTGGATATGGATAGGAACAGCATCAATTTTACACAAAATGATTAATAATGAGCCATAATACTAGAAAAAAAGGAAAAAAAGAAGAGCATGCACAGATCTAAAGGGGGGGGGGGGGATGGGGGTTGGAAACAACAGACAGACATTATGACCTTTGACCTTTTGACCTCAAAATCAATAGGGGTCTTCTTTAGGCCATAGGGAGTTGTTTTATAAAATTTCATTGCAAAAGCTCAAAGGCTTCTGGAGATATTGCACGGAAACAAAAGTGTTACAGACAGACAGCTAGACCTACGGTTGAATGGATGGACAGACAGACCCAAATTAATATTCCCCACTTTCAGTGAAAGTGGAGGACAAAAAATTAAATCAATGCTTAGTTCAATAATTAGACTTGTATCCTTAAAATGATAGCAAATTGATTTGATATCAAATTGGAATTGATACAGTGCAAAAAATTATTCTCAAGCTCAACATAAAAATTACTCCATTTTCCTTGCAGTATTTTTTAACAATTTTGTCTTGTCTTTGTGTGAAACTTTTGCAATTAATATATTTCAAAGAATCTTTATATTTTGATACATTTATATAAGTATACCTTTATATATGCAAATAAATGATAAATATTTACTTTTCATACTGTTTTCTGAAGAATTTATCTTTCTGCACTAAGACAACAATAATTAAACATTGATGAACAGATACAGTCAAACCTCATTATCTCAAACTAGATGGGACCGAGAAAAAAACAGAGAGATATCCAAGAATTGGAAATATCAGGGGTAAATACTTAAAGAATACATGGTATGGACTTCCAATGTAAATCACTTCTACATATCCATGGTATTCGAGATATATGTGATTGAGATACTGAAGTTCAACTGTAATTGTAAATTAAAAATAATAATTTTTAGGGAAAAAATGTTTTCTTGTAATTCCAGGGCTGTTTACATCGATTTGTTTTATTCTACCTGATTTTACCCATTCCCCCCCCCCCCCCCCCCCCCCATTTACCCCACATGTGCATAAGAAAATGTTTGACAATTTACCAACATATTACTTGCAAGTATTTTCATTTCACATACTGTTTAGAGCAGAGTGCAATTAAATTGTGTAAATACACTGTATATCATCAATTAACCATACCATTCTGTGCTTAATGGCTTTGAGCTTTGAATTATGACTGATTTTGCTCTTGAACCAAATAAAGTTTAATTTTTCTCATTGATATTGCTATAAGTAATTAATCAACAAGAGACAATGACAAATTCTTAGTCATAGAGAACTTTTATCTTCAAAATATATTTTTCACAGGGTATCTCTGATTTTTTGATGATTGTGTACTGGTATGTATCTAGGTGCTATATATGGATCTCTTTTTGTCATATATCACAACTGCTTAGTGCAGTTAGTGCAAAAGTCAACTGCAAACCCCAAACGAGGAAAAAAACTTGCTGCTTGTTGCTGCTCTGACGTCGAATGACGTAGGTCTATCCTTAATATATTGCTTGCAAAGTAATTAAAATTGTTGTATTTAAGCAAAATAAAGTGATAATTCAAAGCTTAGTCACATGTTAATAACATCTGTTGTGCATGTAACAGATGTCAGTAATAACTTTATAACTTGTTGCATTCTGGGTAAATCCTGGTGCATAACTATTGAGTCTGTGGCTACAGTTGATGATGCTTGACACTATCCAGAAAGATTAGCTTCCTGTTAAATCTAGAACTCCCTGGCTTTCATCCATGATACTAAAATTGCTGTAGCTAATTTTGCTGGCTTCCTGGTACTCTCAGGTGAAAAGCTACTTGCATCTCCCTGGCCTCCTGGGAAAAATAAATATTATGTGAATTCTGGAGATCAATAATCATTTCCATTTTATACGTTTCTGCAAATTATTGTCAAACAGTATTTATTGCCTCTTTTCTGGTCTACTTTTTAAAAACTTAATTGGGGGTTTTAAAGGCATTTCCAGTTTTGCCAGGATAATTACAGGTAAATAAACAATCTCATAAATGGTGCAGTAATTATATATATATATATCACATTCTAAAGCATTTGGTGGGAATGGAAGAAAACAGGACCAGATATGTTTTAATTTTTTTTTTTTTTTGTGCAATCAGTTGAATTTAATATATGTGATTTTTTTAAATTGACTTAGAATCTCCATAATTAGGCTAAAGTGGAAAATATGATATGACACTAAAATAGGATGCATTTTTAAATCCTTTTGGATGTCAATGATTATGTCATTTGTTTGGGTTTAATTTTAATATCAGCCAGGTCACGCACCTGTTACACGCAGAAAAATTGATGGAAGGCATTGTTTGCAGCATATGATGAAAGTGTGTAACAACTGATAAATATAGACCCTGTTTCACAAAAGAACGAAGTCCAAAATGTAATTACAGAAATAACTTTCTTTTTTACATAAAGAAAATAGTTTTGTTTTGTTTTTTTTAAAAAAAATGAATTTTGAAAGATGTATTAATGCAAGCATTTGTTTACAGAATCATAAATTTTGCTAGATTTTAGTCAGCTATAGTTTTTGGTCCATGTCATAAGTTCTTTTGTAAAACAGGCCCCTGGAGACCTATAAATTATTATGAAATTTTGTTTGAAATTTTTAAACCAGTAAAAATTCATAGAAATGAGTCCTTATGTGCTTTTGACATTAAAAAGACAAATAGGTGTATCCATATTATGCGAGATATTTAACACATTATTATGTCATAAAAGCCCAGGCTAGTGTCATTGCAGGAAGTGCCCCTAGAAAATGTTATTTTCTGGTGGAGCCTGTGATGACATAAGTACACAGACTCTTAGTGCACTGGAAATAGAACAATTCAGTGCAGCAACAAGAATTTTACAGTTCACTTGTCTCTGTCAGTTCAGATGTGTATATCTAAAATGAAATAGTTATAGCTGATTAATATCATTCACATGAGAATAAAAGAGCTTTATAAATATAGAATGCAGATTTGTCTTATCATCAGACATTAATGAAGTGTGATTAACTTCCTGTTATTTAAAAGAACATCATTTAAACTCCAGAGTCCTTTGTCACTTATATGGAAATTTGATTGTTCTTTGGTATAATATAACAGTCCCTTGTTTATTGCTTGTATAACTCTGTATTATCTCAGAAAAGCATAGTATTAGTGGTATTAAATAGCAGAAAATATAAAGTGTATGAAAAAAAGAAATTTCAGTATTTATGTTATGTTGTCAAGCTTGAAATCTTTTAAACCAAAAAGCAGTTTGAAACTCACCATAAAATTAGCTAGATATGCAGGGCTGACTGCTAGTGGAAGTTGTCAGTCCTGCCAAAAATCTACTAGCCCAAGAAAATAATTGTCTTTTATAACTTTGTTTTCAGAGAGATAACATGAATTGGGCCAGATCACCATAACTTCGATCCCGATTCTATAAGATGACGAATTCTACCCCTTTGCTTCTTACACTTTACACCGTTTATGGTAGCTCAGTCGGTAGAGCGCTCGCTCCATGATCGGGAGGTCATGAGTTTGAATCTCGGCCATGACAGACCTAAGTCGATAAAAAATGGGTAGCAACTGTTCCTTCGCCATGCGTTCGGCACTTTGAAGTGAAAGTTGCGGGTCCTTCGGATGAAACCTTAAAAACCGAGGCCCTGTGTCACGGCAGGCGTTGGCACGATAAAAATCCCTCACTGCTCAATGGCCCTGAGTGCCGAGTAAAGGTCTAAATTTGAAGCCCTTCACTGGTATGTGGTGATGTCTCTATATGAGTGAAAAATTCTCAAATGGGACATAAAACAACACACAATCAATCAATCTTACACTTTACTACCGATACTATTGGTTGATTTGAGAGAGATTTATCAAATATACGAATTGTAATATATGGGAAATTTTAACACATCCAGCAGGGCCTCCATACATGCAGATCAGTTCGCCCATGGCAAAATTTGTGTGTCTCGAGCAGTCAAGCGCACAGTTATTTCAAACACTGCGAAAAGCACATAGAACTTTTGAAAATTTTCCTATGTGATGCAGAATTATGACATGCTTAAAAATGTATGAATAAAATGAAACAGTTTTAAATATTGTAATATTCTTTTATTTTATGTATTTGACAGAAACTGAGGCTGCTGAACAATTTTAACACTTTGATGTCAGTGGTAGGGGGGCTAACACACAGCGCTCTGGCCAGGCTGTCCAAAACTAACCAGGAAATCCCTAGTGATACTCAGAAGGTAAGGGATTAACACAGGCAAAGGGATTTAAAAAGGAAATCCCTAGTGATACTCAGAAGGTAAGGGATTTACACAGGCAAAGGGATTTAAAAAAAGAAATCCCCAGTGATACTCAGAAGGTAAGGGATTTACACAGGCAAAGGGATTTAAAAAAAGAAATCCCTAGTGATACTCAGAAGGTAAGGGATTTACACAGGCAAAGAAAGGGATTTAAAAGGAAATCCCTAGTAATACTCAGAGGGTAAGGGATTTACACAGGCAAAGGGATTTAATAAAGGAAATTCCTACTGATACTCAGAGGTTAAGGGATTTACACAGGCAAAGGGATTTAAAAAAGAAATCCCTAGTGATACTCAGAAGGTAAGGGATTTACACAGGCAAAGGGATTTAAAAGGAAATCCCTAGTGATACTCAGAGGGTAAGGGATTTACACAGGCAAGGGATTTAATAAAGGAAATTCCTACTGATACTCAGAGGGTAAGGGATTTACACAGGCAGAGGGATTTAAAAAAGAAATTCCTAGTGATACTCAGAAGGTAAGGGATTAACACAGGCAAAGGGATTTAAAAGGGAAATCCCTAGTGATACTCAGAGGATAAGGGGTTTTAAAAGGCCATGGATATTTATGTGAAGATTAAGAAATTGTTAAGTAGATTAAGGGATATATAGGAAGTATGGAATTTAGTAGAAATTTACAAAATTGACAAGCTTGAAGAGATTGAAAGAAAAGTACTTAAAACGTAAAGGATTTCAATCAATATGAAATTTTAAATTTAGTTAGAAGTCTGCTGAAAATTCCTGGTGATGTTCAGAATAAATGGAACTGCGGTCCAAGTTCTACTGTATATGATTAAAGAACTCTAGCTAAAACTTAAAATGAAAAGAGAAAAGATTCAGTTATTCAGTCTAAGTGGTGAGAAATGTAAGATTTTTAATTAGTTCAGAACAAAATTTATTTATTGGTCATGAGGATATAGAGTAAGATTCTAAATATGTCAATACAGTCTTCTAAATACTCTATGGAATTTTCTAATGCAAGTAAATTTGTCAGAAAGAACTTTCAAAATATGGTCCAAGAACAAGAAAAAGTCAGTCGATTGAAGTCACATGTGATAGTCAGATTAAAGAAATTCAGCAAGAGGAATTGTAAGAAGTAAAAACTACACATGTACAAGTTTCTGTGATACCAAGAATGTCAGAAATAGGTTCAGGCAACTGTTTTTGCACATGGTACCTTGATTTAAAGAATTAAAACATTAATAAAAGCAAAGCAAAGATTCAGTCATGGACAAATGGTAATACAGGTCATAGCAAGGCTGTTCAAAAGAACTTCATAGAAGCCAGAAAAAAGCTCATCTGTGATTCCTTTAAAGATTTAAGAGAGTAATCAATAGGGAAAAAAAATCTGTGGCAAGAGACATACTAGTAGGGAGAAGGCTACAGTTAGCTTCACAAATATTTGATTGTTGATATAACTTTATATACTGAAGGGAAAAAGAAATGCATACCTAAATATATATAAGGTTGGCATTTATTACTATGCAACACAATGATAGCCAATTACAATTTTAGGTAATATTTCATTCATAATTGTCATTAATTAAGTCATAATATCAAATCAAACAGCATTTTAGCACTGCAACTTTTGACTATAGGAAGTAGGGGTCCTAATTTTTAAAATTCAAAATTTCGAAAGCCAATAATTGCATGTGCCCTCTTCCTCCATTCCAATTGATCAGAAGGTTGATTCTTTGAATAGGGAGAAGTTTTCATTCCTCCATAAGTGCTTGCCTGATCTCATTGGTGGCATTTGAAATCCGGGAAGTCAAATTCGTTGATCTATTTCCTTCCATAATTGCTCAACTGGAGAGAAATTCAGGACTAAGTGGTGACCACTTTGTGTCCATCCATTGTTGGTCACATGTAAATCTTGGCATACACTAGTAACATGCGTTCTTTTTGTGTGAATATGGTTGTAAAGTGATGGCCTGTGTGTGCCTTGAGACCTGCCTCTGTGAGACTATTGTGTAAAGATTTCTCTCTAATTTTGGCATTGTTGCATCCAGGAATGTTACTAGCAGTTACACTCCCAGTTAGAAACCTGTTCTATTGGTGGATTAAACTGATCTATCTGTCCAGAAGTCCTAAGGCCCCTAACAGTTGAACTTCAGTATCTCGTAAAATTTGAATTAGCACATTTCTGAATGTGCAAGATTTAAATGTATGTGTTAAAGACGTTTAGCGATGTACTTGATTTAGCAGAAGCAGCTTACAGCCAAAGTCGCTAAATAGAATACACAGTCATATGTATTATGTTTACAATATTTTAACCACTATTAGACACAATTTGCAGAAGATCAATTAAAAATATGTATTTCTTTTTCCTTTTAGAATAGTTTGTATAAGACTTCGTGATGAAATCACCATCAAATAACTTCCTTATGCATGTACTTTACAAAATGAGCTATTATTTACTTGACTTATGTGCACTTTATTAAAATACATGCTTTGTAAATGCATTACATCCTGTTTAATATTTAATAAACATGATAATATCAGTATTGCAGTATTTCATAAAGATTTTAGGATACATGTATCAAGATATTGATACAGATTTTATCACCTGGAGTACTTGTCACTTATTGCATTAATGACTCCATTGGTTGTTAGACAGTGTTTATCTGTATTAAATTTCTGTTCTGAGCAATGAATCTGTACCATTGGAGGTAATTATATTGTCTTTGTTTTAAGACAGCAGGGATAATGTTTGTCTTTCTTTAAGGTATTCAGTGTATAATGAAGGGATATTGAACAATTTTGAAACATTTGAAATGAGTTAAATATGTATTGATAGATAATGATGAAAGTGAAATGAACTAAATTCACATGATTGATAGCATCCAAAAAGCCAGCCATTTTGCACCTTAAACACTTTTAAAGAGTTATCTACCCTTGATGAAATAATAAAATTTTAATTTTGTCAAAAATCTCTGGTAAATGACTTATTTTATTTTATTTTGTATTTTAGTAAAGAGAGAGCTAATGCAAATTTTTGCCAAGAGATTTGTATGAAGTTTAAATTACTTTGTACAATACCGGTATCTTAATAATACATGTGCTGCCCATAGACTTCAATGTAAATTCAAGGTCTAATTGGACAATAATCAAAATTTTGTGAATTCCTTTAGTGGATTATTCCTATTTGATAACACCTTCAAAATGCTATCATGGTTACAAATATTGGATCATTCTTTGTTTAAGAAGTCAGGGGTAATGTGTTAATCTTTGTTTTAGGCATCAGGGATAATGTGATTGTCTTTGTTTAAGATATCAGGGTGTGATTGTCTTTGTTTTTGACATCAGGTGTAATATGATTTTCTTTGTTTTAGATATTAGTGGAAATGTGATTGTCTTTGTTTTAGACAACAGGGAGAAAATGTGTTTGTCTTTGTTTTAAGACATTTGGGATAATATATTTATCTTTGTTTTATACCTCAGGGGCAATGAGTATGTTTTTTTGGACTTCGGGGTAATGTGATTGCTTTGTTTTAGACATCAGGTGTAATGTGATCATCTTTGTTTTAGACATCAGAAGTAATGCAATAATCCTTGTTGAAGACATCAGGGGCAATGTGATTATCCTTGTTTTAAACATCGGGGTTAATATGATTGTCTTTATTTTAGACACCAGGGGTAATGTGATGTCTTTTATTTTAGATGCCAGAGATAATGTGATTATCTTTGTTTTTAGACATTGGGGTAATGTGATGTCTTTGTTTTTAGATATTGGGGATAATGTGATTCATTGTTTTTAGACATAGGGGGTAATAAGATGTCTTTTTTCCGACATTGGGGATAATGTGATTCATTGTTTTTAGACATTGGGGTAATGTGATGTCTTTTTTCAGACACTGGGGATAATGTGATGTCTTTGTTTTTAGACATTGGGGATAATGTGATTCATTGTTTTTAGACATTGGGGGTAATGTGATGTCTTTTTTCCGACATTGGGGATAATGTGATTCATTGTTTTTAGACATTGGGGTAATGTGATGTCTTTTTTCAGACATTGGGGATAATGTGATGTCTTTGTTTTTAGACACTGGGGTAATGTGATGTCTTTTTTCCGATATTGGGGATAATGTGATTCATTGTTTTTAGACATTGGGGATATGTGATGTCTTTTTTCAGACATTGGGGATAATGTGATTCATTGTTTTTAGACATTGGGGGTAATGTGATGTCTTTGTTTTTAGACATTGGGGGTAATGTGATGTCTTTGTTTTTAGATATTGGGGGTAATGTGATGTCTTTTTTCAGACATTGGGGATAATGTGATTCATTGTTTTTAGACATTGGGGGTAATGTGATGTCTTGTTTTAGACATTGGGGGTAATGTGATGTCTTTGTTTTTAGATATTGGGGGTAATGTGATGTCTTTGTTTTTAGATATTGGGGATAATGTGATGTCTTTGTTTTTAGACATTGGGGGTAATGTGATGTCTTTTTTCAGACATTGGGGATAATGTGATGTCTTTTTTCCGACATTGGGGATAATGTGATTCATTGTTTTTAGACATTGGGGGTAATGTGATGTCTTTTTTCAGACATTGGGGATAATGTGATGTCTTTGTTTTTAGATATTGGGGGTAATGTGATGTCTTTTTTCAGACATTGGGGATAATGTGATGTCTTTGTTTTTAGACACTGGGGGTAATATGATGTCTTTTTTCAGACATTGGGGATAATGTGATGTCTTTGTTTTTAGACACTGGAAGTAATGTGATGTCTTTTTTCAGATATTGGGGATAATGTGATGTCTTTGTTTTTAGACACTGGAAGTAATGTGATGTCTTTGTTTTTAGACATTGGGGTAATGTGATGTCTTTTTTCAGATATTGGGAATGATGTGATGTCTTTGTTTTTAGACACTGGAAGTAATGTGATGTCTTTGTTTTTAGACATTGGGGGTAATGTGATGTCTTTTTTCAGACATTGGGGATAATGTGATGTCTTTGTTTTTAGACACTGGGGGTAATGTGATGTCTTTGTGTTTAGACATTGGGGATAATGTGATGTCTTTGTTTTTAGACATTGGGGGTAATGTGATGTCTTTGTTTTTAGACATTGGGGGTAATGTGATGTCTTTTTTCAGACATTGGGGATAATGTGATGTCTTTGTTTTTAGACACTGGGGGTAATGTGATGTCTTTGTTTTTAGACATTGGGGATAATGTGATGTCTTGTTTTTAAACATTGGGGGTAATGTGATGTCTTTTTTTAGACATTGGGGATAATGTGATGTCTTTGTTTTTAGACATTGGGAGTAATGTGATGTCTTTTTTCAGACATTGGGGATAATGTGATTCATTGTTTTTAGACATTGGGGGTAATGTGATGTCTTTATTTTTAGACATTAGGGATAATGTGGTTATCTTTGTTTTAGACGCTGATGGAGTTCACCGACCTTCTTTCCTCTAATAACAACTTCAGCAACTATCGCAAAGTCTTCAATCAGATCAAGGCTACAGAGTTCAAAATTCCCATACTGTAAGTATGATGGCATCCAAAGAAGTAGATCAAAATGAAAATACTCATAAAATAGAACTAGTTCAAGCTTAAAATAGGCATAAAACAATAAAATACCTATCATGTTAGTATGATGGCATCCAAAGAACTAGTTCAAGCAGAAAATACTCATTAAATAAAATTGTTTTGCAAGAAAATCATTCTCTTTAAATATTGAAAGAAATTACTGTTTTCAGTGAATAATTGTCCAAATAATAAGATTTTTTTTAAAATGATTGATCATTCTTTAAGATTATGTAGAAGGACATACGGTACATGTGCTCAAGTTTATTTTGTTTATTTTTCTATTATTTATTTTTTTGGTTTGACAAGTACATGATGAACTCTATTTCTTTAGAGCTGTCCATCTGAGAGACCTGATCCTCCTACATACAGCTTTACCAGATCAAGTAGAGGGAAATCTAATTAATTTCCGGAAAATGGTTCAGCTTTCACAAACACTGAAAGAACTGACCAAACTTCAGCTGCATGATGTCATTCCATTCACTGCTAATGTGGACCTTGTCAATACACTCAGGGTATGTCTGCTACAACTGTTGTCTCAAAGGCTATCATCCTTAAGCTTTGTCTTGGTAAAGTATGGTGTTACATATAGCTAACTTGCAAGCATTATTTAATGCAGCTACATGTATTTTACATTTGAGGCAGATGTTTCCATACACTTCCATTGAATTAATGCATTGAACAATGTTTCTGATGTGTTTCAACAGTTATCACTTGATCTGCACTACACAGAAGATGAAATTTATGAACTCTCCCTGGCACGAGAGCCTAGAAATTCCTTATCATCTGTCAGTGAAACAGTAAGTTGTTACATGTAATGGTATATATACAGTTTAAGGCAAAATTTTTACCCCATTTTATAATGCCCCCCCCCCCCCCCCCCCGCTTCTTGAAGTTGGCTAAATATGGGAACAAGTTGCAAATATGATGGGAGGTGGTACCCTGAGTTATCAAAATCGGAATGGTTTGAGCAAATTCAAATGGGGGGAAATTGTATTCAGTTAGATAAAGAATTTTTTCCCCAGAATACATCATGAGATTACTTGTTTCATTCTATCTTCTAAGAACTTATAATCTGACAGTTTGTGAATCATCAATCTTATTTATTCACCAGTTTTGTTTCTATATGTTTAGCCGTCCACCCCAACCAAGCCGGCAGTGGTGTTTGCTGAGTGGCTGGCAGGAGTTAGTCCCCCTGATCCAAACACAATAAACAAACATGTTCATGATATGGTTGAGGTAAATGTTAGTCAGAAAAAAACTTTACAATAAATTTCTTTGTTGGACAGTAGTAAATATAAAATTACATATCTTTGTAGAATGTACACTTTCAGGTTTCAGTAAAGGCAGTTTTTTGTTTGTAGAGAAAGATTTAACAATGGCCAAAATGCACTTTGCATTAGCTGAATAAAAACAAAAAAAGAACAAAACAAAACAAAACAAAAAACAGCCCTTTAGTCGACAAGTATTCATGCAGTGGCAAAAGATATTCAAAATATTTCACATATGCAAGCTAGCATTCAGACTTGATCAGCACTGAAAAGAATTTTGTGAATATTGGTGTTTATGTAGATAAGTGTTATTTTTATTCATGTAACAGGAAATGCACTTCATAGATTTAAATATCAATGTGCCACTGAATATCTGTGAATAAAAGAGCTAGATTTTTTTTTTTTTAAAAATTCTGCTGTATTGCAAAGTGTATTTTGATTGTGTTAATTTGTACACAGAATATCTCGTACTTGGAAAACTGTTTAATGAAACTTTTTTTGGCAACTTCATAACTATATTTTGTAGATGTGTAACTTTCAGGCTACAGCAATTAAAAACACAAACAAAATTTGGCCACTGTTAAAACCGTACAAACACAAATTTCCTAAAGAGAAACCTTAAAATGATTTCTTTTTTATTGTGAGCCATCAGCACATTGCTGTTTCAGAGTACATGTGTACACTGTATTATTATTTCAGGCTGTGTTTAAAAATTACGATCATGACAAGGATGGGTTTATATCCCATGATGAGTTTAAAGCCATTGCTGGGAATTTCCCCTTCATTGATTCATTCTGTGTTCTGGATGCTGATCAGTAAGTTCAACATATTGAACATTTCAGTGCAACATGTGTTAAAGGTCTTTATTATTTTCTGTTGTAAAACAAATAGGAATTTTTTCATTTTTAGAGCATTTTATATCAGTGATAGCACTAAAAATTTGGCCAAAAATTGATATCTATGTCGTGTTTGATCACAGGGATGGCATGATCAGCAAAGCTGAGATGAAGACATACTTTTTTAAAGCCAATTGCCATGTGTTGCAGAACAGTTTTAAGCATGATTTCCATGAGACCACATACCTGAAACCCACATTCTGTAGCCACTGTACAGGGCTGGTAAGTAATGAAGTTCCACAATTTGTACCCACTGTACAGATGTGGTGAGTAATTATGATCCACATTTTTGTACCCACTGTACAGATGTGGTGAGTAATAATGATCCACATTTTTATACCCAGTGTACAGAGCCTGTGAGTAATTATGATCCACATTTTTTATACCCAGTGTACAGAGCCAGTGAGTAATTATGTTCTACATTTTGTCCTCACTGTACAATGTGGTGAGTAATCATGTTCCACATTTTGTACCAACTGTACAGTGTGGTGAGTAATTATGTTCCACATTTTGTCCTAGCTGTACAATGTGGTAATTACGTTCCACGTTTCATATTCACTGTACAGAGCTGCTGAGTACTACACACAATCTATCTTTACTGTACAATGCAAGTGGAATTCCCACCTCTTTGTACCTATGTATGAATTATGTTTTTGGTATTGTGTAGGATAAGTAAAGAAGATTGTGCTCAATCTGTCATGGCACCGTCGAAGTGTATTTACTAGTAGACCTTGGATACTTTTGAGATTTCTCTCATGGACTCTGACACACTGTGTGGTCTGTGACTTAATTAAACATCTATCCTAGTCTGTGTGACATGATTTCTCACGTGGATCTTTTAATATTATTGCCCAATTTTTTCGTGGAATAGTAAGTAGCATTTTTAGGTCACCTGAGTCACTCAGATGACTTATTGCTATCTGTTTTTGTCTGTCATCGTTTGTTGTGTGATAACATTTGAACATTTTCAGTCTCTTCTCTGAAACCACTGAACCAATTTCAACCAAGTTTGGATAAAGCATCTATGGGTGAAGGGGAGGAAAGATGTTGAATTTCCTGCCCCCCTCCCCCCCCCCCCCCCCCCCTTGGGCCTGGGGGATGAGGCTAAAACCATTCAAGTTAATGAAATCTTTGAAAATCTTCTTTACTCCTGGACATCAAGTAGTCAAACTGTTGACATGATTGTATAAGCATTGAGTCTTTACCAAAATTGTAAAATTCATGGCCCCAGATCAGGGTTTCTTGAGTTAGGGTTGGGCTTTATTGATCATATTGAAAATGCATAAATTCTTTTAAAAGCTTCTTCTCTCCCCCTGTATATTTAGCAGACAAACTAAATCCATGGTTATGATGAGCTATGGTGTCACTTTCAAGATTGTGAAATTCATGCCTCGTGGGTCAGAAGTTTTTGTATTAGGACAGGACTCTATTGATAATATAGTGAAAATGCATTATTTCTTTACAAATTTTCTCTGCTTCTGGGTATTAAGCAAACAAACTAAGTGCATAGTTATGGTAAGCAAGAGTACCGCTTCCAAAGTTGTGAAAATTTTCCACTCTGTTCCTGGGTATTAGCAAACTAACTAATTGCATGTTCATGATGAGCAAGGGTGTTCTTCCAAAATTATTGTATTCATGGCCCATCAGGAGTTCTCATGTTAGGGTAGGGCTCCATTGATTATAAAGGGAAAAAACATTAATCCTTTAAAAATCGTCTGTTTTCCTGCTTACTAAGCAGATAAACTAAGTGCACAGTTATGATAAACAAGGGTGCCTTTTCCAAAATTGTGAAATTCATGGCCCCAGGGTCAGGGGTATGGATAGGACAGGATCAGGGATAGGACATGGCTTTATTGATTACATAGTGAAAATGCATTATTTTTTGAAAATCTTCCTATTTGCTCCTGGTCATCTAAGAGGCAGAGTACAAAGTGTAATGATCAAAGGTGTTTTTATCAGAGTTGTGAAATTTGGGGCCACTGGGTCAAGTGTTCTGGTGTTGGGACGGGCTGTATTGATATTGTAGGAAAATGTTTACTCTATTGAGAGAAGTTATTCCCCTTTGCTGTTCACCTATGATAATTAATCACTGTGAATAATGTAAATGGTAGGTCAATTGAATAAAAAAATTAATTCAAATTTTTTTAATGTTTAATACAAAAAGTACTTTCACAGTTTTTTATTGGTCAAGTAGAGTTGTAAATAATAGTTGAAGAAAATGAGACAAAAATACTTTTTTGTATTTAAATGTTATATAAAGACAAAGAAAGGCCAGTGTGAGAGAGAATGTGTTAGGTTTTCTATATGTATTCAAGCACTATTGATGGTTTAGTCTACATGGCCATGGTGAAAAATGGGGGTGTAGTAGCACTGGCAGGTACAGGCAAGTAAATAGATCTACTCTGTGATTTGCTACCAAGTACTAGACTAGGTGTTTTGCTGATCCCTGATCATCCTATTTCTCTTGCTTTTGGGAACATAAATTCAACTGTCAGTTTATTTTGTTCTATTTTATATTTCTGTGGATCCTCTAGAGTGTTGTATTATACTTAGATGACCATTAAGGCTCTTGGGCCTCTTGTTAATCTGTAAAATTATAAAACTTTGAAGTAATAATGGTTTATTTATATAAAATGGGATTACTAGTACATCATATTGATGAAAGTAAGGCTAGATGTCAGTTTTAAACAGCTGTCTATATTTTAGGGGACCAATATATTTTCTTCAAGATATGATCTTTTATAGAGTCGAAAAATTGATTTAAATGTACTCTAGCTGTCTGTCACACACCTTAATGTACATGTACTTAACAACGTTAAGGTACGACAAAAAAAAAGCTGTTTAAACCGAGGGGGACATTTAGAATCAGTGTTGTGGATGTAATACATGGTTATGACAGAAGAATTTGACAACACATAGTTATAGATGTTTTAACACTGACACTTCATGTCCGTATAGTTAATAGGTACAAAGGATGGTATTCCTAAAGATTACGCAATCAGCACTTTATTTGGGTAGCTCATATTTAAACATCTAACACTTTAATAACAGGCGGGACAGAAGTTTGAATGGATAAGATTATGATATTGTGCAGTAGATCAGGGAGTGGTGAGTTTAAGTTCTAGAAAGCTTTTTTGGCATGTCTGGTCTATTCAGTCATTTTTTTTAACTTGGGGTAAGTAACAGACTATTAATCTTTGACCATTGTTTTTATAGGCTATTCATTTGTGGCTTGTAATTCTCTGTAATACTCTAGGTTATTAAGGAGAGTTTTATTAATGGACATACTTTCTGTTTTGATAAACTGGATAAATGAAATGCCCGTACATATATTTTTTGAACAATAGTACAATTATATCTGTTTGACATATCTAAATGTATACTTTCAAAATAATCTTTGGGTTTTTTTTGTTTTTGTTTTAATTTATTTGTGAGAAACAAATATGAACAAATTTCTCCTCACAATATCTGATTATGGAAAGGATTATCCTTTAAACCTGACAGGAAGGTGGAATTCATAAATAAACAAACATTTGTATTTTAATTGATAAATGGATGTGTATAATTGACTTAGCTGGGGACAAGGCCAGGTAGATTTAATGTGTATTGTGACATTGATGTGTAAGCAGATCCTCTAGCCATTGTTATGTGGTGTTTAAACTCTGCAGGAAAGTGTTGGGAGTCGCTTTTCAGTAGTGGGGTTTGTTCATCTTGGAAGAGACAAATAATGGTATAATCATAGGTCTGAAAAGGAATAATCTTGGCAACATTAGCATATTCTCTGGATTTCTCCAAGGACTGTAATCCTGTTCTGTGAGAAAAATCACATCATTACCTGATTGTTGAAGATTATGTAATGTTTTCATGAAAATGTGAGGAAATAAGTTACTTTTTCAAGTCTGAGAGTGAAATTCTGACAGTGGAAAAGTTGAGAAAGGGAACTTTTAGCATTCTTACTAGCCAGGAAGTTGGAGGGTGAAATGGTTTAAATTGCTTTGTTATTTCCCATAAAAAAATTCAAATTACACCAATGCTTAATTTTGTGATAGAAAACAATTAAGGGACAGTTAATTTAAGATCAATGTTCTTAAAAAGTCATTATATGAACAATTTCCAGTGTCTAATAGCCAGGAGGAAAAAACTAGACAATAGATATTTCATTTTCTTGTTTTATTTTTCAGTTATGGGGTTTAATCAAGCAAGGTTGGAAATGCAAAGGTAAATGTACCTTACAGTCATTTATGTTTTATGAACCATTACTGGTAGAATATCAAATTGATTTGCGTGGAATTTTAAGAATTTAATTTCAATGCATGATCAAATAAAAGTAAATGTATATAAGATATTTTGTGTTCAGTATTTAATGTGTTGAATATGCAATACTGCATGGACTCTAAAATGCAAATGTTTCATATATAAACATGATAAAAAAAAGAATATTCTTTACATTAAATTATGTTACCTAAATTTTGTGAAAATATAAGTTTGAGTGAACATATTCCCAAACAAGGTCATCAGAAAGACATGTATGTACCATATAAGTCCTGAGCAGTTACCAATGTCAAGGTCTCCAGACATTAAATGATATTTTAGGAATGTTAAACACTGAAATGATATGACACTTTATATCCCAGTATGTTGACACAGTGTGTGGTCTTTTTAATTAATTTGGCAGTAATCAAAATAGTGACCATAGAGTTTATTTATTGATCAACACAAAAATGCACCAATATGATTATTTAAGATGAAGAATTTAAATGACCTATGAAACATTATAAGCCCTCAGTGTCTTTATTTTCTGATGTGTTAGAATTCTTTCATATTTTTTTGATAAATACACCTTTATATATTGTCAATCTATAATTAGACAGAAATGTATACATTTTCAGATTGTGGTATTAATGCTCATAAACATTGTAAAGACTTGGTTGTGATGGAGTGTCGGAATAAACAGCAGGCAGCTGGGAACAAACGGCCAGATGTCCCTAATGGTAAGTCAACTATAGGTGGGTATTGTCTCTAACTTTCTTTGTTATTTAATGCAAATTGGAAAAGTTATTTCAATGCTGTAGTACATGCTGCATGAATAAGAGAAGTATAGGTATAGACATTTAGTGAATTAGATATGATTGAGTCTGCATATCAGCAAATATGATTGACATATTTTAATAAAACTTAAGACATGAAGTAACAAAGCATCTCAGTATTTACTGACTGGCTTCAATTTCATTTTTTGTACTATCCAGCTCAGTAGCTAGAAGACCTACTGATTTCTTTTCTTAATTATTCATAGGCCCATCTTCACACGAGGTAGGAACCTACCCAGGAAGAAGAAAAGCCTCACAGCGACAGAAGAGGTCACGTGTGAGTGTGGGGACACAGACAGAGGAAGTGTATTTTACAGACCTCCGTCGCTCAAACATGAACGGGGATGAGGATTTTTATGAAGGTCAAGAAGACGTCTTCACACGGCTGGCCCAGACTGATGAGGTGAGTGTTGATGATGGCCAAAATTCTCTAACATCAGAATTTTATAAACAAGTCTTTATACCAATTTCATACAATTTTGTGGTAGTCAAACAGCATGGTCAATTCAATATTTGTTAAGCATGGAGTGAATTTTATGCTCCTCATTGTTTCTTATTTGTATTTAGTCTTCGACCAATCAGGAGGAAGCACAGTAAGTTGCCATGGATACTCCCCTCTGTGATCTGTGCTTGTTTCTTTGTATCCCCCTCCATATTCACTTGATGTTGTTCATTTCATTGTCTTTTTTTTTTTAAATTTGAGTATGATTGTAAATATAAGCAGAACATTTTGGGCTATATATATTATCTGTATTTCTACAAGAAAAAATAGCTCTATGATTTCACACTGAATTAATATTAACAACTTTCTCTTGCATTGCTATTAAAAAAAGTAAAAAAGTAACATATTATCAGAAACATGTGATTTCATACTTCTTCAATAAAGTCTTTGCATGAAATATTTTTGAATTTTGGCACAAAAAAAGACATGGCTTAAATTTAATAATCTTATTGATATCAGATGATTAAGATACCATATTGCAGACACATGTACAAATTCAATTCTGATGCTAATTTGTCTAAGTGTTATTTTCAAAAGTTTTGTGTTTTTAAAAATTGAAGAACATTGGTAATCAATAGAGCACTAATGCAGTAGAATGTCCTAGATGTAACAAAATGCTGTGTACAATTTTTTGTTCAGTGAACTGTAGTAGAAGTGTTTGGTTCAAAGAGGTATTAACCAGTAGAGTGTTTTTATCCTTAATTTTAGTTCATATGAATTATTTACGTTTGAAATGAATTCCCTTAAGACATTTTTATAAAATTCATTTTTATATGTGTGGAAATTTTGCCTTTGAAAACTTCTCATTTTTTTCCCAACAATATTTTTTAAGAGAATTTACATATATTTTTTTTTTTTACACAACTTTGCACCTAGTAAATATACCTCACTTTTATTTTATAATTCATTCCAGTTTGTAGCTGTTTCCCCTGGAAATTAATTTATTAATATTATTATTATTTTCTTTTGATAAAAAAAATTACAGATTTTCTATGCTTTATCTGCAGGCGAGGGACAAGTTGATGGCAGAGAATGCTAAATTGAGGGAACTGTTGGAAGCTAGTAATGAACAAAATGCTGTTCTCAAGTCTCATTTGGGACTGATTCGTAAAAACACCATAGCTTTTATATTGGAACAGATGGATGCCCTCCATATACAGCGAGACACCGAGGTGTAGCTGGGCAGGTCCTAGCCCCACCTACCAAACCCCATGATCCACCCCCTGTGTTCACACAGTGAATCTTCAATGGTAGACATTCCAAAGCTTGTACACAAAGAACTGTAAAACTTGCAAAGTGGAGGACCCTGTCTTGTGTTATAGTAAAGCTTTATTGTTATTTATGTTACATGACATAAATGTTCTCGTAGATTTGACCAAATGATGAATGTTTATTTTGATCAGAACTCAAATCCTTGGCTTAAACATTCCATTGCAAGACTATTTGTACAATAGGCGAGGAGAGTTTGATTGGACTTAAACAAAGTGTGGACATTTGATAGCTGCAAAAAACAATGAGAAAAAAAAAATTCTCCAACATTTCAAAGTGTGTTCTAAGTCAAACCTTGAAGTCTTTCAGATACGTTATGAGTGTAAGGCGGATTTTGTGTCCTGTGATTCGTAATGTCTTGGTATTTCATGTGCATTCTTTTGATGGTATCAGAACCAATGAATCTGCAGCATATTGGAAAACAGAGGTCTGATGGACACTGATTGGTTACCAGCTGTACATCATTACCCATGATCCTCAGGCAGATCACATAAACCCCTCAGCTACCAGTGTTGTGCCATACAGTTAGCCTACATACCACCACATTTATTCTGCTATTCTGGATCAAGCTCATGGAAATAAAGTGCAGTTCTGATTATTTTACAAAAAATGTGTTTCTTGTAAATTTGCCTCCTTTAAACCAGTCACCAATAATGAAGAATTAATTTTTTTTTTTTTACATGTGAATCAACTATGTATTTTCTTTACATAATCTGTGTTTTTGTTATATTTTTTCCTAACATGATTATTCTGATATCAAAAATATTTTTCCTTTGACAATTTTGTTATATGGCATTGTATGAAAGTCTTGAACAATCAAATTATGTTGCTATTGCTGAAGTTTTTGTTATTGAACAATTCCATAGTACATGTGTTTGTATACACCAGTTTCCTATTTGTTTTGTCAGATGTCAAGAAAAGTTAACCATGATATAACATTTACTCCAAATATTCTTAAGCTTATATAACAAATGAATATGTGTAAAATTTGTTAAAACACTTGGGCTTTCTAAATATGGAAATGCTGTCAGTTCTACTCCTTTCCCCAATTTAATGTTCAAATACCAAGATCTATATATGGGAAGAACATGATTAAGTGACCAAATGAAGATCAAAAACTTAAGCTCGATTTAACACTTCCCTTAAACTTTGTGGAAAAAAAATCATTGTATTAAAATATAGCCTTGAATTTTTCTTAGATTAAAATAATATAGATATCTATTATACTCACAATCAAAGATCTGGTCTCTCCACTATATATTTTTATTGTTTATTTTTGTGTAGCCTCTGACTTGTTGCTGATTTTTTTTCCTCTTTAGAAGAGGTCTCATCTTTATTGATGCTATTTTATACTAATCCTCAGTTTTATTATTTTTTAATGACATTTTTACTTCTGAGAAAATAAGTTTACTCTAATGTTGGTTAGAACAATGAAAAGTGCACCATAATAAGGAAAATAGATTTATAGACATAGATACTAGAAAAGTAAGAATTCTGTACTGCATATAAAGCTATATATAAACCAAATGATAAAACCCTTGAGAGTGCATTTGAAAATCAACCTTGACACTTCAAGTGTATATCAAAACCAGGAGCTATTTGTTGTATAGTTTTATTCAAGCTACACCAGTAAGATTAACAATTATAACACCTTAATTAAGAGGACATATTGACAATATGGAGCTAAACTACAACTCTCAATAAAACATTAGTATCCAGGATGTCTAAACTACACGTAATCATATCTTCCAGGATGTGTCTAAAATACATGGTATGTCTATTCTGAGTATGTCTAAACTACATGTAGGTATGTGTATCCAGGAAATGTAAAAACTACATGTAGGTAGGACTATCCAGAATATGTCTAAACATGTAGGTATGTCTATCCAGGTTATGTCTAAACTACATGCAGGTATGTCTATCCAGGATATGTCTAAACATGTAGGAATGCTTATCAAGGATACCTCTAAACTACATGTAGGTATGTCTATCAAGGTTATGTCTGAATACATGTAAATATATCTATCCAGGATATGTTGAAACCACATGAAGGTATGTCTATCCAGGTGAAGTCTAAATACATGTACATGTATGTATCTCTATTCAGTATACATACATGTAGGTATGTCTATCAAGGATTTGTCTTAACATGTAGGAATGTCTATCCAGGTTAAGTCTAAACTGCATGTAGGTTTGTCTATCCAGGTTATGTCAAAATATGTATATATATGTCTTTTCAGGATATGTCTAGATTACTTGCAGGTATGAAAAGAGGTTATGTACATATCATTTGTAACAAAAATGGCACTTTGGAAAGAGAGATTATTGGTTATTGATAATATGCAATTACCAAATAAATATGTACTGAGAAATAATATATTTATTGAAAGAATTGTTTGTTTCAATTATTAAAAAGTGTACTGACTCTGCTTAAAGGATTATGTGACTCATATGAATTATTCTAGACCTTTTTAACCAGATTAGTTGTAGTAAAGCAAACAATTTCAGAATATTCTCTTTTTTTTTGGGGGGGGGGGGGTCAATTTGCTCAAATTTACATGCATGGCGAAAAAAAGTCACTCTATGGATAGCCAATATATATATATATATATATATATATATATATATATATATATATATATATATATATATATATATATATATATATATATATTAATGTTGATCAAATTTTATTTGGCATAACTTCTTTATTTTCCTGTAAATTGGGGGGAATTTTTGCAATACAAAAATTCAGTTTGTGTGAATAATGACGGGGAATCATGGTGTTAGGAAAATTATATCTTGTGAATAAAATAAATGCTATCATTTACAGAAACATTATGCAAAATACAAGCGATTTTCTGTAGTTTGAAAACCTTGTGCAATATTTTGTGCTTTTCAATAAATCGTACTTAGGCAAACTTAAAGAAAGTAAATTAACAATAAGAAATAACAGGAGTATTAATTTTGTAAGATAGATCAATTTTACTTCATTGTGTAAGATTAACTATCATAAATTCACTTTGTCATGAGCAAATTTTCATCTGAGAAAAGAATGTACAAGTATCAACAAACATGCAGATGATTCCTTGATGAGAATTGCCAATTGTAATGCAATTTAATTTTCTTAAACATTTTTGAAAAAAGTTTTAGTGAACTATAGAAATTAATTTGACTTTTATTTATCTTCTGGTTATCCCAGATTTAATTGGTCTATAGGTACTAAGTTGTTATGTTTGCATTTTATAATGTAGTTTAATTTTCTGTAAAACCATGTATTGTAAATTTGATTTAATCTTCAACTGCTATATTTTTATCGACAGTGTGACCTATAATTAAATCTAACCCTTGTTACAGGTGTGAGTGAGGACAATATTGCCAAACCTCTGTGTCATTAGTATGTTCTCTTGTGGTTTGTGAAATCTGTGTGGATTCTCAGACCCGTAACCAGTATATTACTATGTAATACCTGTTCTCCCATTTCATTAGGATCTGCTCTAGGTAGAGCCATGATACTATTATTTTTGTACTATTCTCAGTGTACCGGTACCATGAAGTCTGGGTGTTGTCATAGAAACACCACTATTGTATTTTCTTTATTTCAAATATTTATTCATTTTCACTGGTGATCAAAAACCCTGTTACACATTATATACAGCATAGGGTCTGTTTGTTGTGAGAAAAGATAAATAAAACATTAAACTTTTCAGAGTGTTTTTTTTTTACTGCTTCTGTCAATACATGTATTATCAGAGGTGGGGTAATAGATAGTATAGGGCTGACTTTTGTCAGACTTAGGTAGTGGTTTGTATTGGGGTGGCAATTAGTCAGATTAAGGCAGTGGATAGTAGAGGCTTGTGCTGGTATTAGTCAAATTTAGGTAGTGGATAGTAGAAAACTGGCTTTAGTCAGACTTAGGCAATGGATAGTTGAAAACTGGCTTAAGTCAAACTAAGGTAGTGGATAATATGTGGCTGGATTTGGTCAGACTAAGGTAGCGGATAGTGGATAATATATGACTGGATTTAGTCAGACTAAGGTAGTGGATAGTAGAAGACTGGCTTTAGTCAAGGTAGTGGATAGTTGAAAACTGGCTTAAGTCAGACTAAGGTAGTGGATAATATGTGGCTGGATTTAATCAGACTAAGGTAGTGGATAGTAGAAGACCAGCATTAGTCAGACTAAGGTAGTGGACAATATGGGGCTGGATTTAGTCAGACTAAGGTAGTGGGTAGTAGAGGGCTGGCATTCATCAGACTAAGGTGGTGGATAGTATTTGGCTGGCATTAATCAGACTAAGATAGTGGATAGTAAAGGGCTGGCCTTAGTCAAACTAAGGTAGTGGATAATATGGGACTGGATTTAGTCAGACTATGGTAGTGAATAATAAAGGGCTGGCATTAGTCAGATTAAGGAAGCAGATCGTAGGGGGCTGGCCTTAGTCAAACTAAGGTAGTGGGTTAGACGGGGTAATATGGGGCTGGATTTAGTCAGATTAAGGTAGTGGGTAGTAGAGGGCTGGCATTCATCAGACTAAGGTGGTGGATAGTATTTGGCTGGCATTAGTAAGACTAAGATAGTGGATAGTAAAGGGCTGGCCTTAGTCAAACTAAGGTAGTTGATAATATGGAACTGGATTTAGTCAGACTATGGTAGTGATTAATAAAGGGCTGGCATTAGTCAGATTATGGAAGCAGATCGTAGGGGGCTGGCATTAATCAGACTAAGATACAGTGCAAACAGCCATGCATACTTCCATGTAGTAGGAGAGGGCTTTGGCTAATGAAAGCATTTCAGAGCTTTACCTCAACAAGTGAGCTGAGACAATTTAGATGGGCTGGTTGTTGATAATTTGTCAAATGATGTGGAGTTCAGTTAAAAACTATCTTAAATAAGCTACAACATATAAGAACACCTACCTTTCATTCATAAGATATTGTGTGTTAGCTTCTTCAATCAAATCTAAATGTTGTCTGATAAAGTGCATTTTGGCCTCCAGGGGCATGCATGGCAGTTTGCACTGTACATCAGACATGGCTTGTTATAGATCTGATACATAATTATGCTTCAAAAATATGAGATATTCTTATCCAGAAAATATGGAGTATATGTCGCACAATAGCTGCATCAATAATGGTATGCACTGCATCAGTCAGTCAAGCACTGAACAGATGCTGTATATGTATGTGTACTTATTTCTGATTTGTTAAAATTTAAGACATTTCACACAGTCATGAACAAGTGCCATACATGCTTATATAAATTACATGTATAATTAAAAAAAAAGATTTATATTTTAATTGTGATCTTGAATTGCCATTCTATAAAGTTTAAACTAGGAAGCCCACTAAGATAGTACACAGTAATTATACTCTCTAAGCAACATTTGATTGAATTTTCTCTTTCACTTCAAAACAATAAGCCATACACAGTATCAATATCTGTGTGTCGGAAAAATTAGCTCTGGATTCATTCAGTTTTCTGGACACATGTATAAATTGCATGTGATACATGTACAAGAATTGCAAATACAAGCATTATTCTTTATCTCTTTAACATATTTACATTTTGTAGGTTTAGAGCAAAACTGTCAATTTTCGAGAAGCAGATTGTTCAAATTTTGTATTTATCTCTCTCTGAAATTAACTGAGAATGATAAACAACTACATTGTTTGCCACTTCATATTTAATTTACTGAAAACATAAAGGACTTCAGAAAACAGGAAACAACAAAAACATTTCTTATTCACTCTTTTATGCATTTATTCTTCCTTGCATCCTTATCATAATTTTTAATCATCTTCAACACTTACACCCTTGATCTATGAATAATACACATGTACATATATACATTCACCATAATCCTTTCTTTTAAATCCTTTTCCACATAAATATCACATAATGGGAATGTTTCATACAATCATGGTATTATTTTTATAGTGTTACAATCATGGTATTATTTTTATAGTATTACAATCATGGTATTACTATTTTTATAGTATTGCCCACCCCTCACACTTCTTCTACGGCCATCCGGGACACGTACTCTTTATATAAAATTGTCCCTTTTTCTGGATCCACAGCAGCTGAGAGCATTTCTTCTAATTCTTCCTGCTGGAATGGTTCACCTAGAAGAAATCAAATATCTTTCAGAGTTACCATAAAAGATTTTCATGGTTTATAGTATTCATTCTACTGTTTCCCAGTACTAGCCTTGAAAAACCATGTTTCCAGAACTATTTACGAGGGGTGATCAAAAAGTTCGCAAACTAATTGAATTACTTCCATAAAAGAAATAAAATTAGGTTTCAGTGTTCATCATTTTTCAAAGTAGTCCTCTCCGATTTTAATGCATATTTGCCACCGTTCTGCCCATGCGCGAATCACGTGATACAGGTAGTCACGTGACATTCCCCGTGGCGTTCTGTTCACAAAAGCTAAAAGAATTTTCCGAGTCTTATATTTCTTACCATGCAGGTTATTTTTTTTATAACAAGAACAGTCCATTTATCAGAAATGGCCAAATCTCGGTAACAGGATGGGCGGATAAGGATATGCCTTCCAAGAATTAGCATGGGGACCATCACAACCCAAATCCGCTGTCTTGGGAGCATCGTTTATCCAACGTGGATAAAGTATGGGTGCCTTCTTTTTATCATATCTCATATGTTTAAAGTCTAAAGTAAACGATATTTTAGGGATTTAATAATTATATTATTGTTAATATATTCAACAATTTTTCTAACTTTAACTTGGCGATCTTTCATAACAAATTGCTCAACTAAGGACACATCTCTTCCCCAGCTTGCTTTCACTGGGCAACAGAACAAACATCATTTTTAACCATCTCCCTTCCTTCACTGAAACAATCAATCCAATTAATAATTGAACTTCTGGCAAGTCTTTTGTCTTCACAAACCTTGTACAAATTATTATATACTACTGCAAAGGAATTTCCTAGATATACATTAAACTTTACAGCCTTTTGTCCCTCAAGTATGACAGAGTCAACCATTTTTTGTCACAAGTCACCTACATATTGATGTCATTTTCACATTGTGACGTCACAAACACGGAGCAAAACATTATATAACATCTGCTATTTATAGAACATGTGTATGACTACATGAGTGCCAAATTTCATTCTGATCTGAATTGTGGTTTTGTAAATATAGAAATAGTTCGCGAACTTTTTGATCACCCCTCGTAAGTTCAGTTAATGATTTTCTCAAACTTTATCTGAAACTATTGCAAAGCACACAAGTGAAAAAAGGGTTAAAGATTCTGATGAATGTACCAGTAGTTTATTCCTGTATGTTTTGACATATACAATTTATAATTTTGTTTTTCGCTAGGCAGTTGGCCTTCTACTGAGTTTTTTTTTATAAATATTTGACTATCCAGTAATATGGGCCAAAATTTGGTAGCCTCAGGTGTCAGACTTGTGAGTTTCATGAAGACTGTTTTGTACATATGAAATATGCAGAATACTGTATAGAAACTGGGCAAAAGTACATACCATCTTCTGTCATATACTTGGCTAGTTCATCCTGGGTGAGATACCCCTTTCCCTCTTGGTCTAATACAAGAAATGCTTTTAAGAGAACATCTTCTGGTGCAGGTTTGTACCTGAAATGGTGGGAAAAGTTTTATTAAAACAGTAAAGGATCAGAAAAAAATAAAATACTATACTGAACTTAACTGTAAAACTCAGTCATGAAACAATAAAAGCAAATGAAGGTTAGAAGACAGTGACCTAACCTCCTTTCCATCAACACTTTTGTCATCATTGATAGAAATTTTTCAAATCTAATGTAGCCTGCCTCATCTTCCTCTTCAATCTGAATTCAAAATTAATAACATTGATAACAATTTCATAGTACATGTATAATTACACTTCAGAAGTAAAAATTGATTTTAGAAAATGACAAGAACTCTTACAAACTTTTTTAATTGTAAATCTAAATCCCCCATATATATATGAATATTTTGTGCAAAATCTGCCTACCTCTACCAGCATATCTGTGAGCTCTGCCTCTGTGGGACAACAACCAAGAGAACGGATGATAGTGCCAACTTCCCTGTCATTTAATGTAAAATTGATCAATTATAGTATTGTGATACAGATTGTGATGCAGTGTAGTGTATTCCAATAAAAAAATAGCAAATACTTTTTATATTGTTGTAAAACTCATGAACATATGAAATTTACACACAGCACATTTCATGAAGCATGTGAGTGCCCCACAAAAATTTGCCTACAGGTGCAAAAAGTACTTCATACATATCTCTCAGTCACTTTTCAAAAAATGAAATATATTCAAACATTATACTTACATCTTAAATGATTAACTTTCACATTAAAATATGCATAAACTAAAAGTACCAAGTCAATTTCCTCCAAATCTAGTTTGTTCAGACACTTCTGAAATGTTGAGTTTCTAAGTTACGTTTGAAAAGAAACATCAATGCAATGAATTTATAACCAAAGATATTTTGAAGTTAGTCGGAAGTGCCAGTTTTATCATTATAACTAAATTTCAGCTTCAATATGTTTAAAACTGTTTCCTATCTTAAAGTTTTTTGACAGCAATGGCAATGTTTGAGATGCTGCTTATATACAACCACATTGTTACCCAGTGTAGTCCGATCCCTCATATGTGAAACTTAACAAGTCAAACTCACTTTTCCAAGGATGTACAGATTTATACTATTTTGTATCTTAGTATTTATTTATTTAAGTATAAATTTGAATTAATCTTGTTTCCTTTGAAGAGATCCCAGCTTGAACTTGAATTTATTTTACAGTCAGAAGGGTGTCCCTAATATATTTGGTTATGTAGGTAGACTAATGTTGAAATAGAACAGTACTGTTGTTACTAACCTTACATCTACCGTTTTATTGTTTTCATTGTCGAATATTTCAAAAGCTTCTGTTATCCTTTTGTGGATATCCGCAATGAGTGAATCTGTAATTAAGCAAAGAAAAACAAAACAGTCAATATGAAAATCCGTGTATTTTTAAGAAGAAAATAAAATATTAGGTCCTATTTATAGCAAAAATTAAACACATTCACCATGTCCTTATGTATTTGGATGTATTCTAAAAATGACTGAATGTATTCAAGTACACATACATATTTACCTTATTTATTTATTTCTTATTTATTTACTTCTTATTTATTTCTGTGACAAAAATATGTCATGTTTTCATTTAGTTAATGAAGAGGAAATTTTGACTATTTTGTAAATTACCTGCGTTTTCTTTTGTTTCGTCCGCCATGTTGTTTACGATGGTTACTAATTGAAAACATAGAATATGAAATGGTAAAACGAATATCCACTGATTTTTTTATTTACCTAATTTTTGAAAAATCAACAAATAAATTTCATTAAATTTTTTTTTGAATTTCCTCAATTTATTAAAAAAAAAAGAAAAACATAATAAAATTTATTTCTTTCGTTTTGGACAAAATTCCAAGATGTCTGCCTCCATAAAAAGCGAAAACTGAGAACTCAAACAAATCCGATATTCTTCTGAATAACCCGACGTTTAAACAATGTCATCATACAAAGACAGTATTTTGGATGCAAAAGTAATTAATCTACACAAAGTAGTCGAAAATGGGCGTCAGCGGTTCATTTGTTTTACAAAAATGGGAACTTATTGGTCTCTCAATGTGACAGACGGTCTAGATGTCTGGCGGCTTGAGATGGATGAAGATGAATTTGAATCACATAGAGAATTGTCAGAGACTTCTTCAAAAGAGGCTTTTTTGTTAAAAATAAGGTATTATCATTAAATTACTTTGTATACATCACTTAACTTTTAATGGAATCTTTCTAATTAGGGGAACATTTAAATATCAGTTCTAAGTCATAATTTTTCATTAAATTTTACAAACATTTGTGTAATGTCATATACAGTAAAACTCGGTTATAAAGAACTCAATTAGAAAGAAATCTTGGTCACAAGAGATTTTGTGTGAGTCCTCTAGGTGACTTTGCACTTGGTTACGTATACAAGTGGCTGTCAGATGGGTTCAATCGCCGGTGGCCAGATAGCTGAGTTGATAGAGCACCTGACTGGAGATTCAGAGAGCCTGGTTCAAATTTCGGTCTGGTCCGTCACATTTTCTCTTCTCCTGTTACATTTGGTGCCATGCCATGCCCTGGAAGTGACAGGTGCAAGACCCGCCAAGGAATCTAGCTTAATCGGTTCGTGTCTTCGAGGGGCAAAGACCTTTAAGGAGGGAGGAATGAGGCAGTCAGATGGGCTTGATTGCCTGTGGCCAGATAGCTCAGTTGTTAGAGCACCTGACTGGAGATTCAGGGGGCCCAGATTTGAATCCCAGTCTGGTTCGTCACATCTTTCTCCTCTTCTGTTACATACAGATATAGAGAATCTCGGTTATGAGGAATTTGAATTTGAGGTCCCTTTGACTTATATCCTTATAACCAAGTTTTACTATATTAAACATTTCATATGCAATGTCAGATGGTGAAACTATAAGGGTGAGGGCAGTAAGCAATATCTTGGTTCTTCATTTTGCATATTTTGTAGGGAGTGAAACAATACACTTCCTTCATGATTTGATTCATATAATTTAGTCACAGTACGTTTATTTAATTTTTGATGCATTTTGATAGAAGGAAATGAATATTCGAAGTTGTTTTGTTTCACTAAAACCAGTAACTTAACCTGTGCATGTGCAAATTGACTAAAAGAAAATAATTAGATTGTATTGTCTGTTAATGATTATTCGATGATTCTACAAACTATTAGTCCTCAAAAATCATGTCAAAATTTAATCATGCTGACTTGTAGCAAGTTTTTACAAATGCTAAACTGACTGAATAACGATCCCAACTGAAAAATGAACCTACCAAAAATGGAGATTCTTTAGAGTGTATCAAATCAACAAAAAATACTGCAGTGATTCAATAATGTTGTGAACCGTTTCACTCCTAATCTTTTTTCAATTTAATGAATGTTGTCACATGTTTCAGTAAATTTTCATAGCTTGAGTTTATTGCATCTCATGATGTCTTTTTCCACACAATTTTTATTATCTTAAATAAATTACAGTTATGTTTTTGATATACCCATAAATTGGAAGCTAGATTATGGACTTCTCAAAAAAAAATTTGCACAGTTCCAACAAAATCAGAAAACCATGCTTAGCCTTTTATTTATGTGCTAATAAAAGAATTATGTAATTTACAAAGACTTCTTTAATAAGGATGCATTTGGCAGAGAGATATTAAGATTGTAATTTTTGTAAATCTTTTCAATTAAGTTATTGCTCTGCTAGCTAAAAATTACATAGCAATGCTTTTATAGTCTCAGGTAGTGAAAATGAACTCAATATTATTCAAGTCTTGGTCCCTAACAACTTTAAAAATCTTCCTTGAAAGAACAAACAAGCTAAAATGTATTGATATTCATCATGCAGCTGTTCTTCTATCATAGTATAGATTAAAGTTTGAACAAATTAATGAATAGGGTAGGACCATATTAGAGGGGGCCAGAATTTTACATAAGAATATGAATTACATTAAAATTTGTTTTCAAGAATTTTTCATTTTATGCAATAATCTAAAATTCATCAGGCTTTTTTTTTCAGTTCATTATTATTATTTCAAGAAATAATTGGACATGAGTAACTAATGGTAAAAAAAAATTTAAGCCAAAGAAGTTAAAACAATTCCCTTTTTTCAATTTCATATAGCATAAAGTGTTTATATTGTTGTCGTCAGAAGGGTTTGATCACCATTTGCCTTTAGCTCAGTTGATATAGCACCTGATGGGAGATTCATGGGGCCCAGGTTGGAATCCTGGTCTGGTCCGTCACATTTTCTCCTCTACCGTTATATTTGCCATGCCCTGGAAGTAACAGGTGAAAGACCTGCCAGGGAAGAGCCTGGGTTGATGTCTTCCGGGGTCAAAGACCTTTAAGGGAGGAATGTGGTGGTAAGATGGGTTCAATCACTGGTGGCCAGATAGCTCAGTTTGTAGAGCACCTGACTTGAGATTCTGGGGGTCCAGGTTCGAATCTGGTCCGTCGCATTTTTATCCTTTCCTGTTACAATTTGCTGTGAAAAATCTATTTTTTAAAAACAATTTTGTTGTATTGGGACACAGTTTACAGGAATGCATCTTTTTCCCAAATATTTCACATTCATACTAAGACACTGATCTGTATGTTAGTCTAATTAGTTACATTTTTTACAGGAAGGGCTTTACAGATGGAGATCTTTCCGTGGCGATGATTGGAAACAAAATTACCTTAACCATTGGAAAGGGAGCAAGTGCACTGACTTTTGACCTTTATGAGTGTAAGGCAGCTGAGAAGAAAATAGAACTACAAGAACTTTTGTTTAAGTTAGCATTGTCCTCTTCAAAACTTGAAGAAGAGCTTGCAGTAGCAAACAAAACCATAGAGACCTTGAAGTCCCAAACTTCTAATACTGGTGCAGGAAATTCCGCCCTAGATATAGGCTCCAAGAGAGAATCCCATACCAAACCCAAACCAAAAAAAGTCGGCATGAGTGTAGTGAATCCAACCAGCAAAAAGAGGAAGGCTGCCCATGGTGTGGTTTTTGACTGAATTGTGGTTGGAGCAATGTTTCGATTTTTCTTTTTCTTATAAAGGCAGCCATTATTTTAAGGTTCATCTCAAACTTCTTACAAAACAGTTCATTTGTTGAAATGAAGTTGAAGGTATAATTGCTTTGTTTATGAACCAATTACGTTGTCTCTAGATTTTCATTTTTATATTTACATTAATTTTAGCATTGTATAGACCCTTCATTTCAACATACAAAAAAAATTTCTTTTTTACAATTTCATTAGATATTCATTATGGTGTATCAATTGTATTCTTTATGTACATGCAGAAAAGATTTATAACAAGTTTGACATTTTAGAGATTTGTTATCCTTGACTATCATGTACACTCCGACATCAACTGACATTAAATGAAATATCAAACATCTTGTTATTTAAAGCATGAAAACATTTTATTTTATAGTTTTATTTCAAAACTATGATTCAATAAAAAGACATGTATTAATGACCAAAAAAAAGTTAAAAAAAAAAAAAAAAGTAAAAAACTACATGTTGAAATAGATATATATGCCAAGTCATTGCAGAAAAAAACATGATGTAAAACTTCAAGGCATAAAATAAATCTATACAGTAATAAATTATCACATTGTGATTTTAAATGCAGTAAAAGAATTTAGACATTACATACACAGTTGTGTACACATAAGTGAAGGTTGTTATAGATTAACACTCATATCAATATGGTAGCAATTTTAAAACCATGTAATATTTAGATGTAATATTTTCTTGATTGTTTTAAAATGTTACTGAAGATGATGAATTTTATTGCACTAATTAAACAGAAATACATTGGAAATCTAAACAATGTTATTCGAAGTACAACTTGATTGTTGTTATACATGTTTATCAGTCAGATTGTATTATAACTTCATCTACATATAGATTCAATTCCAATATGGATTTATGTATGTTTTTCTTTGAAGAGAATTTGTGTTGCTTTTTCAACATCTGTAGAATGTGAAGTAATTTGTACCAAAGGTGGCTGAATACAGAGTTTTATTTGCTCATAACTCAAGAACATCAATACATTCCATGTTCCAATCCTTAGTAATGCAGGCAAAAATCTGGAAATGGAAACAAACTTTGTTTTTGAGATTAAGAACACATGTAACATACTTTGTTCTGTTGGCTATTTTTTGGATATTATCAGGTTAATATCATGTTACCTTCAGATGTTCTTAGATAAAAAAATCAGCATACATTATCAGGGGCTTTAAAAATATATCAGATGATAACATCATTTTGTTTTTCAGTAAAAAAATATATACAAAAATTACTAAATGTATCATTTTAGCTGAAATTTCCTAAGAAAGAAATGTTTTAATGGAGATATACAGCATCATATCAATGGAAAACTTACTGGAACTCTTAAATTACAAAAAATAAAGATATAACAGTTCCAAACTACGCTACGTATGTCCTTAACTTTAATTGAAATGTGAATTTTAAAAAATATAATTATATATAAAACTTTAACAGCTTGTTTAAACGACATACAAAAAATGACAAACCCTTTATAAAAACCCCTAAAGCCAACTTCCTTCCAAAGATCCTTGGCACAGTGAATGACATTCTTGTACCGAGATGACGAAGAGTTCATGTAGCGAGTCTTTACCACATCAACAGGTGAAGCGACCACAGTTGCGCAAAATCCCGCCGCAAAGGCTGACACCAGATGGCACTGAACACCCTCACACATGACATCGCTACCTATCAAATGGCTCTTAGTGACATCATACGTCACAACTTCTGCTACATTTACAATTCCGTTCCTTAACATATTCGGTAGGCATCCTGAAAAAAGCAATTTATGTTCGAAGATTACAAATTCTGAAAAAGGTACTAAAACGAGAGACATTACATTAAAAAAAAGATATAATATTCTATGTTACCACGCCAAAGTCCCTTCATCCCTTCCTTGGTATATATCTTCTTGTATGCATCGGAAGTGCTAGCATACCGAAGGTTGTTGCCACTCTGAGCCTGCATGCGAACTTTGACAGTGTCAGTTGGATGCGCAACCGCAACTGACAGCATTCCCGTAGTGACTCCCGCCAAAATTCGGATTGAAACAGGGGTTGTGTTTGGTTTATCGTCTTCTTTATTAAATAAGGTAACAGAAAAAATATATAGATAAATTCTGTTAAACCCTCCTGTAGATAAAGATGATACTAGTTTTAAGTGATAACTTTTTTAACTACCTGTAAATAATAGACTTGCGTACAAGTTCTTGACATCATCATAGCAGCCGAGTTTTATTGTAGAGAAACAGAGTTGTCGCTGTAAGCCTGACATTAGTCCTCTGTACAACCCCCTGCCACCTTCCTCATGGAAAATAGTCAGAATCGTCCGAACAACGCCAGAGTATTTACTATGGAAACCAACATCACCCTGTACCTACAGTAAATAATGGTTACTTGTCAGATTATAAAAATGAATGTATAATAGTGTATCAGTCAATTTAAATTTGTACTGAACTAAATAAATATCTATTTAAGAGTGGCCATTTTTCTGTAAATTCAGAAGTACCTGTTGTCAAGAGATAAGAAAAAACAATCAGAATTTATAATTTTCCCAAAAGACGTTGAGCACCGCAGCCCATATAAGATCACTGAAGATCGATTGAATTTTGTCAGGGGTCCCACGGCCACGAGTGGACCCAGGACCCCTGACGTTGTGAGAAGTTTAATGAAGATCTTATATTCATACAGCAAATTTATAGTGATTAGACTAAAGGCTAAATAGAATGTAAGCCTTGGGAAAATGGTTGCAAAGATCCTGTATTTTGCCTTTAAAACGTAAGGGCTGACCTGTAGTCTGACTTTGGTAGTATCAAGAGGAAATGTAGCCACATCAGCTATACAGGCCCCAGTCCCAGCACTGACCAGCTTGACCCAGAGAGGAGCGTCAGTTTTAACCACTTTTACTCCCAGCGCCGGCTCAGGGCTCAGTCCCCAGTGCCCTTGTGTGGATTTTGTCATACTGTGAATCCGTCATCTAGTCTTGTCTTCACGGGGACTAAAGAAATTAAAAAATATATCAGATATTACTTAAGGAATAAGGTATCATTTTTACACATCTCTCGGGATATGATTACGGGTTGGTCGCGGGATCAAATTCCATAAAGCCCGAATTTATATCCCGATATATGTTTAAAAATAGTACCTTATTACTTATAATATATTTGTGACTTCTTTATAATATATATTTGCCCGAGGATAATCTTTAATGCATGAAATGATTTATTTTTCAAAACTCAACGGCACAAGTTTGATCCATTGAATGCGCGTCAATCCTTTATGACGTCACTGAGAAATTACGTTGAATATTTATGACGTAGCTAACTGTGTTGCTTAAAGAGTGCATTAAGGTCAAGATCTATAAATGACTTTAGATTAACTTCATTATGACGTCATAATCCATTTCAATTTTCTTTTTCCCGTACTTTACGGCTCTATGTAGAAAATAAAGTATTTTCATGGAATTCAATTTGAAATCCTGTGAAAAGTAATCCGGAAACCTATATATTTAATTTAATATTATTTTAAAGAAGAAGCCAAGAACACACAAATTACCATTTTCTGAGAGACTGTAGGCAATCTGGATACATTTCATTTGTTTGATTTGAAAAAAACCTCCCGTATTCATGACTGGTTTTCTTAATTTGTTATTAAGGAATGTTTTTAAGTTTTGTGTGAGTTATTGGTGTGTAAATCACACAGACTTGTCACGTAGGCATATTTCATGAAGCGCGCTAGCGCTTCATGAAAAATATGCCTACGTGCAAGTCTGTGTGATTTACACACCAATAATTCACACTAAACTTAAAAACATTCCTTATATTTACATTTTACAAGTTTAAAAGCACCAATATTATACGCAATATTTGAATTTCTTGCAGCGCTATATCGTTAAATTTTTATTTACGTCTCTGTAGTCTCATTGTGACGTCACTTTAGCGCGAGTTTCACCGTGTATATTTCTACGCGTGAGTATACACAAAAAAAAAATGACTTTCAAATCAATTTCACAGTTGGCTTAGTAGAAAATCACAGCAAATGTAAATATTTGAAAATGACAGTTTAAAATATGATTTTTCGTCTTATTTACCTACAAATCATGCCCCGAAACAACTTCTTTGACAAAGCTAAAATTATAAAGCATCATTAAAGGAATTTATTTCTAAAATTTGAGAAATCTGTAAGCACCTTTCATTTACTAGATCTTGACCTTAAATAGTGTTATATAAAAGAAAACATTTGCAAATATAAATATTAATGAATAGACAAAAATATAAACGTTGACTAAAAACCCCCGGGTGGTGAAGCGATAAGTGTAAACTTTCTTCTTTCAGACCCCCCCCCCCCCCCCGAAAAAAGAAAGAAAATACCATCAGCTACATTATTAATGACAAAGCACAACAACATCATGGTACATTAATACTGACAAAGTAGGATGTTATGTATTATATAATCCTTTTGGAAATCACTAACATTGCCAATATTGCAATGTTTTGGTGTAATTATCAACTTAGACATTTTGAAAAAATTAAAAGTTTAAAAACCTCAAATTAATGATAATTATGATTAATTTGTTGTATATTATAAACAGATACAAAACAGATATTCGAGCAACGTGTCGTCATACCTTAATGCAATAACAGAGAAAGGCTTTGTTAACAGCAAAACTTTAATTTTTAATGCCATGTCAAGGAATCTCGTCCGATTTCGACTGGGGTAAACTCAACAAACGTATAATTTACGCTAATCATCGACACTTTATCTAAGAGTTGTGCGAGACAATAGATGACAAGCAGCTTTGGATTGGGTGGGATGGGGTGGATCTTGGTTCTTCAGTCTTCGTTAAAACGTTCTAAACGAAGAGCCGTAAATACATGAGCGCACCTGCGACAAAATGCGAAGAGTTGATTACTCTTCTAAATAAGAACGACTCAAAATTACAATTTTCGAACATATAATGTTACGTTTGAGAGACACATTTTTTCAGAAAGGCATTTCACGAGATTATTTTAAGCAAAAGTGAGTTTCGCTCCTTTTTGTGACATTTCCATGCCATTTGTACATGTACATGACCAGATTTAACCCTCCAAGGATAAGAAACTGTCATGTTGTAAATTTTGAATTTAGCGGGTGGTAGTAAATACAAAATTTACAACATTGTAAATTTTGCATTTACTGCCACCAGCTAAATTCAAAATTTACAACATGACAAAACCATGACTCGAGGGACATGCACTTCACATTTTTTTTTTTCACTGAAGTTTTTTGTTGTAATTTATTGTTAAAGAATATCTATAATGAAAAAAAGTGACTATCAACATCAATCCTGTAAACAATACAAATCAAAAACAGAAGAAAAACATGGACCACTGGAAACACCAGAGTTGGGATTGTGTGCCTAGGAGGAGTAAACATTCATTTTGACGGTCACATCCGCAACGAGTCCTCTATATGCACTTCATATATCAGGTAGTCATCCGTGGTCATTATAGTACAAAGTTATTGTGTATATTGTAAAAGTTCTAGCTAATTACCCAAAGGGAGCAAGAAGCAACGTTGCATTATTAAACTTTTTTGTTATTCCTATTCAAAAATTTTGTTATTCTTATTCTAAAAGATATCACTCCTATTCGATAAAATGTGATTCCTATTTGATAAGTTGTTATTCTTATACGAAAAAATTTTTTATTTCTATTCGATAATTTATCATTCCTATTCGATAAGTTGTTATTCCTATTCGAAAAAATGTAATTCCTATTCGAAAACATGTGATTCCTATTCGATAATTTGTTATTCCTATTCGAAAACATGTGATTCCTATTCGATAATTTGTTATTCCTATTCGAAAACATGTGATTCCTATTCGATAATTTTGTCATTCCTATTCGATAATTTTGTCATTCTTATTCGATAATTAAATGATTTATATCCGATAAACATGTTATTCCTATTGAAAAACATCATTACTTTTCGATAACATACAATTCCTATTCGATAATATTGTTATTCTTATGCAATTATTGAATAGGAATAAGAATACATCGCATGAGAATGATAAAATTGTCGAATAAGAATAGCAGGTTGATCGAATAGGAATCGTATGTTTTCAAATAGAAATAACAAGTTTATTGCATATAAATCATAAAATTATCGAATGACAAAATTATCGAATAGGAATGACATGTTATCGAATAGTTGTCCTACGGAAGTCCATTTAGGACCTATCAAAAAATATTTTTGAATTCGATATAACGAATAGTCGATTTGTTATAACGAATTTAGTTCATTATAACAATTTCTTTGAATTCGTTATAACGAATTTAATCTGTTATAACAAATTTGTTGATTCGTTATAACGAATTCAAAAAATTGTTATAACGAATCAAATTTGTTATAACGAATTCTAAAACTTGTTATAACGAATTAAATTCTTTAAAACGAATTACTTAATTTGTTATATCAAATTAAATTCGTAAAAACGAATTCGACAAATCGTAATATAAAATTCATATATATTTTTCTATAGGCCCCGATTTCTGAATTTGATTAAACGAATTTAATTCGTTATAACAAATTTAAGAATTTGTTTAAACGAATTTAATTTGTTATGATAAATTTTAGAATTCGTTTAAACGAATTTAATTCGTAATAACAAATTTTAAAATTCGTTATAACGAATTCAATAAATTTGTTATAACAGATTTAATTCGTTATAACGAATTCAAAGAAATTGTTATGACGAATAACTTCGATATAACAAATTCGACAATTCGTTATATCGAATTCAAAAAATATTTCTTGATAGATCCTAAATGGGCTTCCGTAGAAACACGTTTTCGAATATGATTGATATTATTTGGAATAGGAATTCCAATAGGAATAACAAGTCATCGAAAAGAAATAAGAATTATCGAATAGGAATAACATTTTTTCGAATAGGAATAACAACCTATCGTATAGGAATAATATTTTATTGAATAGGAATGATACGTTTTAGAAGAAGTATAATAAATTCTGTGAATAAGAATAACAAAAAAAGTATAATGATGCAACGTTTTACACGCCATACTTGTATTTCACAAACTTCAAATTCAAGTGATAAACACTAACATGAAATTTCACTGAGACCAAAGATCTTATCCAACATTCACAAATGATGGACGACAGCGGAAGAAAGCTTCTTGCAGTATAAAATAAAATAAATACAAATATTTATAGCCTGTATAGACGAGCGATTCGAATATGAGTTTGAAAAAACAAGAAGACCAGGGACCTATAGGTCCCTGAGAAGACGAAACATTCTAACGACTATAAGATAAACTTAATTTGACTTCGAAACTATCAACATAACCTGAATAATTAACTTAATATTTATAAAAAATTCCTGGATAATTATTTTGAGTGAAATTTTCATTTCTGTACAAATGCATAAACCATGACGAAGTCTCCATAGAAATCGGAAAGTAGATCGATATTGCCACTATAGTATCATTCAAAAATTACCTTCAAAATTTCATTAAAATCCGATGTATCAGAGAGCAATATGTTGTTTGTTCAATTGTTTACTTCGTTTGAACTCCTGCTTTAAGTCAGCGCTTCGGACTTTGGCAAGTGACGTCACACAGGGGTAATCGGTCAGATGGGCAGGTCACTATATACACCGTAAACATATGAGTATAAGGTTTGCCGACATCTAGAATTTATACTTGCTTAAAAAGTAGATTTATTTATGAATGCTAACATAAATCACCATAGGACGACTGTGTTTCAGATAGAAAACACATTTTAAAATGTCAATATATTTCAAAGCCTTCAATTGTTTATATAATCTTTTGTAAATCACCAAACAGTCAAGCAGTTTGAAAACCTTTACTGTTGGGTTCAAAGTCCAACAACTTCTCACATAATACATTTATGATATATAAACAACTTTCACTGTTTGTCAGAGGTTTCAGACTGTGACCGTGACTGATATTTTGTATCTGTTGTCCGTCATTAGTATACATTACGAAATGTTACTCTTGTCCCTTTCTGGAATCTTGACTGGTCAATAAATTATATTATTTTCACATCGCTTGTCTACGTAATATACCCCATGTTCAGTGGACTTTGTCCGAACCCATTAACAGATGGCATGGGGAGGGGGCAAAGTCGATTATTATTTCTTTTGAAAGATAAGAGTTGATCAGGCATATCTATACGGTATTGCATGTACCTTAGCCAT